TAAATAAACTATCAAAACAAATATAGAATGCAATAGATTTTATAGAGAAATACGAATAGAATAATTATAGAAAAATCGTACGGAAGATATATATCTCCAAATACAATTTATGAATAATTCATAATCCTGTAAATCTATTTCTTTAATATCGACTAAGACAGAACAAAAATTTCATTACAGAAAGAAAGGTGTAGAAAATGATAAAAATTAAAGAATAATCAATATAATAAGAAAAAAAGATAGAATTATTTACTTCGAAATTTTCTTTATATATTCCAATATTCAAGTTAAAAAATATCTCATAGATCATCTCATCAATGTAAAGAATATATCGATGAATATCAATAATAGTAGCTATATATATATATATATTACGACATATATTCCATCACCAATATCATTATAACGACGAGATACTTTCGATAATGACTAAATGATACCCACATGTAGTTGTTTGCAAAACAACAAACAAACCAACTCCGCTCATTTATCATGTACACGCTGAGTTTCACAAGAATCTGCTCGAGACGTGCATCACCGGCCTCATCTTTGAAAACTCGGAATTTCTCCATGTGGACGCTCAATTCCACAAGCGCCCGGTCGAGACACACGTTTGTGGCTGCACCACACATCACAGACAGCCATTCCCCATGTACTCTCGAATCCACATGCAACCGCTCGAGATTATGTGATCATCCATATCATCACAACACATCAAAACCAGCCATTCTTCATGTAGACACTCGACTCCCCCCCGCAACCGCTCGAGATGCACACATCAGTGGCATCACAACACATTAAAGCGATTCCCCATCTCGACTGGATTCCACATGCAAGTAGAAAGGACTGCTTTCTGTACGGTTCCCGAGTGTGGACACATATCGATAAAGACTTCGCCCCAGCGATGCGAGATGCAGCGACGCCCCACCATCTATGCTTCCGACCCCTTACGACCATCCCCAGGTCCAGAAATCATATTTTGCATCTTCTACAATTGCAGAACATATTATAACTATACTCGATCTTTTTATATTACCTACTTGTAACCTGTTACATTTGTCACACTCGTCTGAAAGAACTGTATTGACACGTGGAATAATGCCGGAGCACGAATGTAGGATCATGCGTTCCACCACTGAAAGTTAGCCCTTTTACACTCTAGAATATTCAAAACACTTCCTACAATGCAGTTTACAAAAATAGGACTGGAGTTCTCTTTAAACTTTAGGGTTTAGGGCCTAGGGTAAATGGCTGTATGAAGACATGCGCGCAAGGATGGTTCGTCGATGTGAGCTGCAGCCTGCATGTTTAGAGAATCTTACTTTGCATGATCAAAATCAACCTTGTTTTAGAGCGGGGTCAAGCTAGAAACCTGACAGATCATCCCCACCGATGTAGAGTTTTCTAGTGGATCACACAGCATCTCGAATTCTGCGGCATCGATGCCACCTGCAAGTGGCGAGCTCTTGCAAGTGACTGGGCACGGCGAAACAATAACGGCAGGGCACGTAGCTCTCCAACTTCGCGAGGTGTGCACGTTGCTCCTGTGCAGCGTTCGTCTATGAAAGCCGCAGCACAACAACGGCATGGGCTGTGATTCAATTCCGCGCCTCTTTCTCACACTGCGCAGTCTCCTCGTTCTCTTGAAGACAAGCCTGTCAGAACGGAAGTTCCCTTGCCTTACTCCGAAGATCCCAGCATTACCACCCGGGATTTTCCTAGGTTTCCGCCCAAATGACTGCAGAAAGGTGCAAGACGATGAGACACAATTAAACAACGATGACAAAATGATAATGAAAGCGAGAGTGTGACGATTCCCGCTGTGCCTCTTTTCATGAAACAAGAAAGATGATACCATAGACTGCTACCAGCGGACTAGGTCAGGTCGTCTGTATGGTGACTGCACCAACAAACTCTTCTCCACACTCAGAGGCCCTGCAAACCGAAAAGAGAGGTTTGCGCAATGGCCACCATCCAACTGGCTGTACCAAGAAAGCGCCGCACGCAAAGCCACGTGGCTTTGTATCGCCGGACGCAGAATTGGCCGAAAAAGGAGCAGTATGGTGACTGTACGCAGATTCTCTTCCCCTCAGAAACCCTGAAAACCGAAAAGAGAGGTATGCGCAATGGCCGCACATCCCAATAGGTCCTGCAGAAGTGTTTTGCGCAATGGCTGCATCCAACAGGCTGTACCAAGTCCATGGGCGTCCACGCTTGAGCTCTGTGCAAGATGCTTGCGTGTCAGAACATATAGAACATCCAGAATTGCGGGGCAAGCTGAGTTGAACTGTCGCAATCGCGGAGGCTCGCTGCTAAAAAACGGCCTGCCACTAAGGCGGCGGAGTTCGTGCTTCTCATCCGCAGCCCCCGTTCCACCAAATGCGGGCAGAATGATGGAAAACGACGACAAAACGACACCAACTGCGAACCAAATTATGATGAACACGTTGTTAAACTTGTAGTCAGACTGAAGGAAACAAATACTAACAATAAACTTGACGAGGTGCCAATGAATATGGGCAAGATGATGATGCTGATGATGAAAAACGACGGAACAGTCTTCTACCGTGGCCACAGTCTCTCCATCCAAGAACCTCATAATGCTGTATGGAGCCATGCGAAGGCAAGGCTTGCACGGTTTTGGCAGAAATCGAGCCTCTCGATGCTCAGCCGACGAAAGGGCTTCCTGCCACCATCTGCCAAAATAGATCTACAACGGACATCTGCAAACCACACGAGCGAAATCTCACTCGCCCCTGGATCAATTTCTGGTGCTGCTCTGGTCGTTCTTTCATGATAACAGTGATGTCAAATCAGGAGCTGTGGCTGTGCTTGCAACATCTTGCAAACATGTAACATGTACGCATCCCCGACCCGGATGGTAAACAACGCCCACATGGACGTCTTGTTTCCAAGTCATCAGCACGGCGTCTTCTCCGAAAAGGTCTGGGCATGTCGAAGAACCGGATTTTACGAGCAAGTTAGATGCTGAAAAACAAATCCTGGATTGCAGTTCTTCGATCTTCCACATCGAGATACAAGGGCATGTGGCAGGCCGTGCTCGTGAGTGGTCGCATTGGGGAGATGAGTTTGGGCAACTGAGAAGGCGCGGCGACTGTGCAGCCTGGTCCCAAGCCGGAAGCTCCTCGTTGTCGGAGCTCACAGCTTTGCACAGAGATTATGGGAGCCGGATGGAGCCGGACACATGTTGGCCGAATGTTGCAACGCTCTGAACTCTACTGTAGATGTAGCAAACCACATCGCGACGGCGCATATGCTGGAACGACTCCGATCCTAGACACCCGTCGGGTTCAAGTTCTTGCAGGCGGCGGCCAGTGCAAGCTAAAGTAGAGTCAGAGACGCGAGATAATGGCACGACGACTTCCGTGGCGTGCTGCAGAGTGCAGGAGGCCTTGGATATCCCTCAAACGCCTTGCGCAGCGGGCTCATCGTGAGGAATAGCCCAAAACACTTCCAAAAACAGAACAGAGGATATACTCTAAACTAAGGGCATGCCCTACGCGCAAAAGCCCTAGGACGTCTGGACGTTTGTCTTCGGACAGTGGGCAGCCACCGGCCCTACATAAATGCAGAGTGCCGCATGCAGAAGATGCACCGCAGAGGAAGACAAGCCCCTTTACGTATTCCAGGTTGTCCATGTGCCTGCCGGCCTGACCTACCATGACTCAGCTTGAAGGCACATGTCAATGTCTTTGCATTACATTCTTGGAACTCTTGGCCAGTCCTGCAGCTGCTTCAGCTCAAGCTTGTATCTAGGATGTGGAACAGCAAACACTTCTCCACCTAAAGTGCATCAGCTCGAGTTAAGCTCCACACAGCTGAGAAGCTTCATGTTGCTGCCGGCAGGCTGCAGAGGTTTGCGCTTCCTCCGGATCTTCGGGAAAAGCTGGTGTCACCACATGTGCTACACATTCTCTGATTTTAAGGCCTCCAGAACTTCAATCCATCTCTAGCATACAATTCTGCACATTCCACCGCCTCCTGGCGAATTGAGAGCCTCAGTCCGGTCAAGCCAAATCTCACTGCAAAGCTGGGCTGCTGCTGTGGGCTGCTAGGCCCCTTGCAACTCTTCCTCCAACTCCATGCCTGAATGTCTCCCCACTAGAAAAGCGGCGGCGATGGCAAAGATCAGAGCTCCAAACAAGTCGTAGCCGACTTTGCTGCAGAAGCTTGTGCCTGCACGGCTAACCGAAATCTCGCATGAAGCATGAGTTGAATGTGTTGCACCTAGGGAAGGCTCGGTGAGCCTGCTTCAACTCTTCTCCCATCTTGCTGCTGCCGTCTTTGTACCGCTTCGCTGCGGCAGCCTGCGAGATCAAAACGGTACCGACAAAGCGAGGTGAGTACTGATTGCCAAGTCCTCCTCGTTCAATTCTGTCTGGAGGTCGCGGAGCTGTGTCTCCAACTGAGAATGTGAAGCCGAAGCCTGTCACGGGATCGTCTATTAGGCACTGCAGACAATGGGCTGCAGGGAAAATTGTCCGCCTGCTCCAGCTTCGATCTTAAGACGGCAGATTGCTGCTCGCAGCTTGCTCGAAGCTGTGCTTCTCCCTGAGCGAACCAACATCATGTCTCCACCGGCCAGGCTTGATGACGCAAGCGTTAGCAGGAAAACGGGTGTGGCGTACCGGGATCTTGGGCGGAGAAGCCCTTCCCTGGGTGCTGTAGCTGTCTTCGGGCACACGGATCTTCAAGCAAATTTGTGTTGCCCGGCACACTCAACCAGCTCCTGATATCATATCTACTTTGAAACAGGTTGCGGACCAGTCAACTTCCATGGGACAGCTCCTGGTCGCAAGAAGCCCGTACAATTTGGTGCACCCGGACATGTGTTTGACTTACAGACTCGCCCTTGCAAATACCTCGTCTTGTCACGGGTGGACTGACAGATCTACTTTGCCACACGAGCACCAAGGGCTGGGGTCAAGTTGCCGACGAGGTAAGCAGTCAACAGAACATGCTTCGGCCAGATCTTGACAACGGTTCCTGTGCCGCCGCCTTCGCTGAGAAATGGATGGCTGAGAACTTGCAGCACCTTTTCGTACAGGCGACCACACGCATGCAAAATGTAGATTCGCCTCTGATGAGATCGCCACAAAGGTTACCGTCAGGTAGCTATTTAGACGAAGCGGCCAGGATAACGCTGTCCAGAGAGACGTATCTTCACCGGTCTCACTGGCTGCTCCAGATGTTGTTGGACGTCGTCAACATCTATTCACTGGCAAATCCTGGCAGCGATCTCACAATCTTTGTCATCGACCAACGCCCTCTCTTTCGCAAGTACTCACGATACTCATGCAGGGACGCCTTGTAGGATAGTTGTTTTGGGGGTGTGCGTGTACGCACCTGTACATGGTGAGAACTGTCAGAAACTGTCTTTTCCTTTCCCGGGATTGGCCATGACTTGCATCACCCTGACGTACCTGGAAATAAGGTGGACAGGACCCGATCCACCTTGAAAGTCGGAGCCTTTGGCGTCTTTCGAAATTTTCAATTCTCATGCAGGCATGCACGGCTCAATCTGATTCCCATGCAGACATGTCGTCAAGTCCTGTCTGTTGCTTGTCGCATTTACACTCTTGCTGAGCATTGTTTATTTTGAATGCGGGTTGGAGGGTTTCCTTGGAGTTCATGGGCACGGTTCACGGTGCTATCGTCTGTGTACCTTGCATGGGACCATGGAGCTGGAACCCCAGAAATGCCTTGCACATTTGTAGAGAAAAAAAACCGGCAGACGCGATGCACTCATGAAGCTGAATCTTCGAAAACTGTGTTTGGGGATGGCCAGGCTCTAAACCTCAGCATGGCCAGCACGGAATACGAGTACTGATTCGAAGCAGACGGCGTGCAATTGGGCAAGTGAGATGGTGAAACACCGCCCAGTTGGATATGCCCTATGCGTGGCCCGCCACTGACGATTGCTGTGCGGAGCATCTTCCCCCCGACATGAAAACTTGGATTCTGCTTTCGCAGAACATGCTGCTGCTGTTCGTAGTTATGAAACAGAACTAGTCAGCATCCCACTTCCACATAAGATGCAAGCCCGGGTGTTGTGCTTTTGTTGCGACGTCAAACCTCCCGCATCTCCGGGATCTTTGCATCATCACTCTTCGGGAATAGCTGATTGTCGCATTGTCCATAAGCAGCTCAGCACGCATGTGAACACGCAACAGTGAGCACGACATTAGGGATCTCATTGTCTGCTTTGATTGGCAAAACTGTGAGCTTGATGCATTGGTCTTTTGGGAGCCACAACAATGTTCCGTACCCCTCTCGACGAGCCTGCGCAGAGATCCTCAGCTGTGCGGCCTCTGTGGACCAAGCTTGCAGCCGAGCCTGGCATCCGTCTTCACTCACGCGCTCGAGCAAGAGGGCCCGTGTCTGGCGTGCAAAGGTCGTACCTCTGCCGCCATCAGCTCCTTCTCCCACTGTGCTCCAGCACCGTCAAGAGAAGCATGATACGAGAAAGGGAAGACAGCTCATAAACTCCTCATCGCGATTCTGGACTGTTGCCAGATTGGCGGAGAGCTGTTCCTGTCCCATGGCCAAGGGTTCCAAATGAAATTTGTTTGCAACGAACTTGGTCCAGCCATGTCCAGCCTGTAGGCGACCGAGATCAGCATCCCGTGCCACCTGTCTCAGCAATTGGGACATGTCACGTGGACAACACGCGATAGCCTCGGCTCGCCTGCATCTGTCGGAGCTTAGCCTTCATTGCTTCCTGAAGGATGCGCGTCCGAGAGCTCTTTGAAAAGAGTGTGCGGTTGGACCCGTGATGACCCGTGCTGGACATGGCAACCTTTACAGTCGGCAACCCAAAAAGGAATTCAGCCTTGTCGCGGCTACATCAGCACGAATCTGAATGACCAACAGCCTCAATAGCCTCCCAGAGTGCGATGTCGCCAACTGTCCGAAGCAATCGAATCCGACAGATGTGACACGCTGCACAATCTACAGTACTGGAGGTCCCGTCCTCCAGCGGTCCTCTGCTGGGCGCCATGGCTGAAAAGACGCGGCGCGAGTTGGATGGTAGTTAGTAACTCAATTGAGCAACCTTTCAATTTCAGCCGATTGCCGACATATCATGACAGATGTCGAGCTATGTTGGGCTCAGTCGTGGATCACCATGCCTGCCTTGTGAGGCAGGCGAATGGGTCGAGTGGGCTGATTGAGCTTGGGTGATTCTACGGTACTTCTCCCCCCAAATGTTCAACCATCAGCTCGACACGACACAAGCATGGGATGGGCAAGAGCCTGGGCACATCTTGAGTGTCCAATCCGGGACGCGTACTGGACGCGTTTTCAGCACTTTCGCTCATCCAGCAGCTAGCTGTAGAAGAGCGGAGGTGTCCTTCGGTAGCCTCAAGGCTCGGAATCAGAGACAACGACAGGACAGCACCTGCAACGAAAGGGTGCGGCGGAGGAAGCGGATGTGGGCGCGGCTGACCTTGCCAGTCTCGTGTGGCAGTGACCCAAGGCACCCTCCTTCCATATGTTTCTTTGATAGTCAAGAAATGACATCAAGATCCAAAAACGAGATCAATTGCCGGCTCTTTGTGACTTGCGGCAGCTTTGATAGACCACGGCAAGGTCTCGATCCAACGTTAGCGGGGTGGGCGGGAACGCCAGACAATTGCAGTCGTTGGTACTTTCATCGCTTCCAAAAACTCAGCCGATCAAGTATTTCGTGACATCAGGTCATCTGTAGAAACGGCACCATGAGCTCTGTGGGTCACACTCTCAGCTTTCGCTGGAAACCGGGAGGCCCATCCCTTCGGAGCGAATTTCTGGTCCAACCTCGGATGGCTCTCCGGAAGCGTCGGACTTTGGATTCTCCGAGTGCGCGGCAGCTGCCCACGAATGCGCTTGGGAAAGTCTCGCTGCAGCCTTGAGAAGCACAGGCACCGCAGATGCAAATCTAGCAATCTGGCGCTTCAAGACTGTGCTGCCCCTTGGCTGCAACGATGTGTCATGCTTCAGACTCTTCGATGCATGCAATGCAACGGTTTGGGCGTGGAACGTCTGCTGCAAAAGCCTAGCAGCCTGCAAAAACATCTTCACTTTAAGCGCCAGTCCAAACAGCATCTCCATCTTTCCTGTAACACCGCCAGGCTGAGTCACGTTTCTTTCACCCCCAGTCTTGCAAAGCAACCCTCAGCGAAGGCCTCGCAGCTTTTGCCTGCAGAATGCCAGCAACACCTCAAGATGTTCTAACTTTCCCTACTTTCTATGCTACCGGCGGAAGTAAGCGCCACACGCAAATAGCAAACAAGGTATGCCACCTGATTTCCGCCTGCTGCTACATGTACGCCAGCATCGGTGCCCAAAGGATGGAAGGCTGGATCTGCTGGTACCAGGGAATATCGCTGCCACCTGAGGACCGTAGATTCGCCGCTTCCAAGCGCTGGGCGAGAAAGAAGCATGCCGACGCACTGAGTGAAGCGCAAAGACACCGCCTCTCGTCGAAGATCCGCCGGGGTCGCCTTGAAGGGATCGAATGCCTCCCAGTATGCAAGTTGCATGAAGGTTTACTGTTACGGAGTGCGTCCTCGGCATGCAAGCCCATCCCAATGCTCGCATTCTGCAAAGCGTTGATGAAGAAACGTTGGTTACGCTGGCATGAACCTGATCCGGCATGATCAAACTGCAGGCAACCTGTCAATGTCGGCATCTCGAGCTGGCACTTGCACAGCCTCGCACTATGTAGATTCATGCAGACAGTTTATCCTTGTAAGTGCCAGACGGATCAAGGATTCAGGAGGTGGACGATTGGAAGTGTGATGAGTTGCGTACTGGCAGCAAGCGCTTTGTCGCAAGTGCCAAGGGTGATCCCGGTTCGGGAGGCCTTTGCCAAGCTCTTCGGCTGGAGAATGATGGTCTCTATCAACGTGGAGGGCCTTCCACCCCAAACGTCAACGTCCAAGCGAGTTCTGGGTTGAAGAAGAGGCTTCGGCAGTTCCACCAAGTCCAGAGGCAGGTCCTACTTTCAAGCGAGGAAGGTTCAAACAACAAAAACTGTTGGAGACCGGGATCATCTGAGAAGCTGGCCGAAAAATCGCAAGGAGACCCCATGTGGCATAGCATATGTATTGCCTGCTGCATGTAATGCTTCAGCTCTGCACTTGCGCTCTGGCTGCCAGGCTCGTGGCGTGACCAAGTTCGTGGGCAAGCGCCACAGCTTCCTCCACGTTCAGCAGCTTGCTCCCTTAGCATCGAACATCATCGAACTCTGTCAGCAACATGGTTTTAGCAATCTTAGAGCATGCAAGCCGCGGCCCAGAGACGGCCTGAACAGCTTGCAACCTCGGCTTAAGTCACAGTCATGTCGAGCCGTTGTCTTTCAGAAGGGCTAGACGGCCATCACATCTCGTCGTTGTGACTTCCCGCAGCCCAAAACCAGTCAGGGACGGCAACTACTGCAAGAGCCATACATGCAAAAGGCATGCGACGTCGTTGGCCAATGTTTGGAACAGTAGGACGATAAGGTCGCATGCAACCTAACATGATTTGCAGTCTCGCTGAGACCACCACTCACATACGCGTGACCAGGACAAAGGATTCCCGCCCCAGCCAGCTCCACAGCTTGTCGACCCAGCATGGACATCCTAACTCATTGTGCTCGACGGCCCTCGTCAGACGGCTCTGAACCGACCCGCGTCCTTGCATAGAGGTCCAAGTAGACATAGCCCAGCCTCCCCTTCCCGGGATCACCTTTCACCTTAAGCACGGCCATGTTGCATCGGATGGAAGGAAAACAGCCCTTCGTGAGGACTCAAGCCACGACTCCAGCAGGACGTGGTGCCCCGTCAAGAACCTGAAGACACTGTCGACGAGTGGGGGCAGCTTCGAGCGTCTTGCTTCTTGAGGCCTCAAATATCTTCACCGAGGTGTGCCAGCCACTGGGGAGTCTTGAGAAGTACCCGGGAGCGGTGGCCTGACAGGGCCCAAGTGAGTAAAGTTCCTGTCAGAGGTAGGACGGCCTCCCGGAAAGTGACGCCGTAGACTTTGCCAACGACGTCGAGAAGGCCGGGCCTTTCTTCTTCGGATTGATGACCCCACTGCATGAGCATGTGTCACTGCTTCAAAAGCTCCGGCTCAGGGAAAGCGCAAAGCCGAGTCTATCCAACCGGGAACCTTTACAAACTTCCAAGGCGTTGACTCTGAGCCAAACAAAATCCGTCCAGCCGTGAACTCTCAGCCATGTGCAAGCTTTTCTCCAGCGATAGGTACTCCGCAAACCTCAGCTGCAGTGAATTTGAGTGACACAACAAATTCGATCGTCAACATCACTTTAGCTGAGAGGTAACAAGGTCTGAGCTTCCAGATATCAGATTGTCGTGACAGGTGTGAATGCCAAAAGGCCTGCGACAGGGCCGGCGCAGGTTCTGTGCTATGCACCAGACTACTGCTCTTCCGTGCGCACTTGTCGGATCGGTCTGTCGTGGTCACACCCAGGCCCGGAGTATTGTTCTTCTGACCCCCTGTAATTCGCAATATCTCCAAAGGAGTCTCGTCCACACAACTTTCCCAACTTACGCTCCGTTGCAAGCATGAAGCACCCAGCCAGGTAGTGTTTGGTCGCCCCGCAGAAGAACTCACCGGCTGCCTCATCAGCCTGGCTGACTTTGCCGCGTCGTTCTGAGGAACCTGGTCAAGAACCAGTTCATGAAGGGTTGGGGGGTCAAACCCTTGTCCACTTGCTGTTCATGAAGGGTTGGGGGGGTCAAACCCTTGTCCACTTGCCGTTCATGAAGGGTTGGGGGGTCAAACCCTTGTCCATTTGGGGGCCGTTCATGAAGGGTTGGGGGGTCAAACCCTTGTCCATTTGGGAACTGGCCAAAAAGGAGGAACCCAGAGATCGGCCGACAGCCTAATGTAAATGGCACATTTTATAAGCAGAATTTGGTAACAGAAAATCAGCTGTCAGCTTCCTGGAACTCTGCTATACTCCTCATTGTCTTCTCAACTTGAGGCGGCTTGAGGAAATCATCGGCCTGACGCATCTCTTGAGCTCCATTCTTCTATTCGCTTGTGCACCTTTGCACGACCAGCCGAAAAACTACTTCGCCCTATTCTGATAGAGGCTCTGACGGGAGCAAGAGCCGCCTGAGCATCCTTCCAGCCTGCAGTTGGCACACGCTACCCCTGCACGCCGCGGACGCTGCAGACGACCCGAGCTCCCGTCAGAGGTCCAGAAAGCGACGTGCTCCTGCCTCGACCAGACACCGCATCAGGAGGCTTTTCGGCAGTACGCGAGCTTTCTCTGAAAATGGAGAAAAGCCTCATCTCCCAGAGCCAAGGGTGCCATCTCCAGGTCAGCCCAACTCCTGCAGGCTGGAAGCGATGGAAATCTGCGAAATGCAATGTGCAAGTCCTGAAACCCAGCTTTTGAGCAAGCTGCCGGCGTGTTCCTGATGCGCTGGGTGGTCGAAACGACATCTTTGGCAATGTGTAGAGGCTTTTGGTAAGACTTCGCCAAGCCCGCTGAGCAGCTCAAGGGCCGCCTCGAAGGAGACACGAACTGGCTGCACCAGCCTCAAGCGAAGCACTGAACCTCGTCCACAGAGCTGTCGAAGCCTGCATAGTACGCCTTCAGGTCAACCATTCGTACTTTGAAGCCGTCTTCAGCTAATATGGAGACGCAAGTCCTCAAACATGCGCTGCCGGGTCGAAGCGTTCTGGCAATAATCCGAAATCTTGTGCATGTCTGGCCAGCCTGGGAAATGGCATCATACACACACACACACATACGGTCTCTCCCAGTGCTCCCTTCAACAGCAGTGCAGGCACAGGATTTTATAGATCTTCGTATGCTTGTGATACGGCACGGGCGTCGACATGAAGCCTCTTTTCAACACTGGCAAGGCTAGATGGCTGGGTTTTTTGGACAGCTCATTCAATTTTTGCAAGCTACCCAGGAATCCTTCCCGTGCCACGCTGTACAATGACTGTACAGGTTCAAACTTGTCTGGCCATTGAAGGATGTATTCTGATTGAAGTCAATTTGCCTTCGTGATATCGGCGACGGGGTTTGAATCGCCAGTTGCACTTGCAGCCTCGTGCAGCTCTTGCTGTAGCTTCGCAAGCCTGTCGTCACACTCTGTCAAGGTATTGAAAGGTCACATATAGCAAGGTCGCTTTTTCGCGGCTTGGTTGCCTCATCTTGTTCCTCTTGCCAAGGACTCGCAGCGTGTTTGTCTGCTCGTGCTCCGTCATCTCATGCCAGTTGTTAATGCCTCTGGCTGCTTATGCACTGGCTCGGTGATGTGACTGAGTTGATGGGTGGCTGGCGGGCGATGCTGCCATCTGTGTTTATGACCAACGGGCCAAGTCTGTCCATCTTCACCTTTGCGACTGCACTGGCATCTACGAGTCTGGGCATGCCCTTGCAGCACAAGGTGCCGGGTTACCATCAACGACAATGGTCTGTACACCTTTGCCGTCGTCCACCCGTGCTCCATCCTGATGTCAAGCAAAAAGCGTGCAGAAGTCGAGCGGTTCGGAATTAATTTGACTTTATTTCGGCTGTGGGTTGTTTTTTGCAGCAAGTTGTTGGGCAACAGCAAATTCTGCGGCTCAGTCTTCTGATGACAAGCCATTAGGCGATTGGACTTTCTACGCTCATGCCACACGAAATACGGTCACGCAACCATCTGGCTGTTCGGCTGAAGCGGGCAAGCCTGGGAGCTCTTGTCGGAGTCTTTTGCAGCAAGCCATTGGGAATTTCCAGCTTGTAGAGTTTGAAAATTTGTAGAGTTCTGCGGCAAGCTATTCGGGAATTCAAGCGAGTTGAATACCTATTGGCACGATTCTCTGTAAAACATGCTTGCACGGCTCAACTTCTTCCAAAGCAGTTGCATAAACAGTGCCTGTATGATGGACTTTGAAAAGCTCCATAAGAGTTCTGGGCTGGTGGCGCAATGTTGCTGAAAGCAAGCTTGCACGGCTTAAGAAAACAGCGGGGCTTGGGGGGGGGGGACGCAGTCCCACAAATTTGCAAACACGAGGCTGTAGGATGGGTTCCGAAGCAGGCTTGCGCAGCTGAAAAATCCGTGGGCGCAGCAAACAATCTGCCCTAAAGCAAGCTTGCACAAAGAGAATTCTAAAGCAATTGCATAAACAACGCCTGTATGATGGACTTTGAAAAGTTCTATAAGAATTCTGTGCTTGGCGTAATTCGCTTTGATGGCGCGATGTTTCTGAATCCAAGCCTGCAGGGATAAGCAATTGGGGGGGGGTTAGGGGGCAGCCCCCCCTTCCCACTTGCAAACGCAAGGCATGTACGGATTGTGAAATGGTTCTGTTGCTGAGGTCACGATGCTCTTGAAAGCAGGCTTGCACAGCCGAAAAAGTGCTTGGGCGCCGCAGCCCATTCCATTTGCTACTAGTAACACAATGCCGGTATGATGGATTCTGAAACGGTTCAGATGGGTTCTGTTCGTGACGGCACGATGCTCCCTAAAGCAAGCTTGGACGGTTAAAGTTCCAAAGCACTTGCGTAAACAATGCTGGTATGATGGACTCTGAAAAGTCCCGCAATAGATCTGTGCTTGACACAACCATTTTTGACGGCGCAGTGTTCCTGAAAGCAGGCTTGGGGGGGGGTTCGACCTTCTACTTGCAAACACAATGCCTGTATGATGGGGCTTAAGACCGTCCATGGGAATTATTTGCTTGATGCAGCTCTGAATTTGATGGCTCTATGTTCTTGAACGCAAGCTCACGCGGCTTAAGAAAGCTACTGCAACTGCCGGAACTTCCATTGCAAGATCAACCACAACCACAACAATAACCGCAAAAAACAACAACCACAACCACAACCGCAACCACAACGACGACGACCACCACCACCACCACCACCAGCACCCTCAGCACCAGCACCGCACCAGCACCAGCAGCAGCAGCACCACCACCACAACAACAACAGCAACAGCAGCAAGAGCAGCAACAGCAACAACAGAAACAACAACAACACCAACACCACCACTACCACCACCAACTAGTACTACAACAACAGCAACAGCAGCAACAACAACTACTACAACTTCTTCCGTGTGTCTTTCTGTCTCTTTTCTGTCCTTCTGCCCTCTTGCTTCTTCGTTCTTTTTGTCTTGTGTGTCGTTTTGTCTTGCTTTCTTCGTCCACCGGGGCTCTCAGCTGAAATGAGGTTTGTGACTCCCGCATGCAGCTGTTAAGAGGGGACTTGCAACCAAACAGCACCCAGTGTGTCCAGTAACATCGAAACCGCAGGTCATTGTCCCCCATGCTGCATTAGTTAGCGAGTTGTACTGGTCAAGTTGCGAGCGTGACCTGGCATGCGGGAACAGCGAGGCACAACTCAGCACTCCGCACCGCAGCAAAGCTTATCATATACTACGTAAAACATAGCGACTATGCCCAATGTTGCTTTCCGGGTGGAAGAATGCCTCACTTATACCAGCTAACATGCTCTATTTATCTTCGAGGAGTTCCCCCAAGCTGGATGGCCCCGAAAACGAAGACATACATAGATATGCAGAGACAGCAGACACACGAACAACTAAGTTCTTGCTTTCTTTCTTTCTTTCTGCTGGGCGTAGGGGTCCCGTAAGACCCTCAGGCTTTCAGCCCGCCCAACCCCCCCACTGTGTTAGTGAGTGGTTGGCATTGGGGCCAATCCAGATTATGGCAAGGAACTACAAAGTATGCTCCCGGTTTTCATGCAGCGACCCCCGCTTAGAACTCTAAAAACCCCCCCGCGTCCCGGCCTCATCTCCGGGCCCCTATGGCTAACCAGATCACGTACCTCAGTCCTTCTAAGCAGGTTTCGCTGCACTGTGGTCGGAGCATAAAAAGCCGGATAATTTAGTCCCCCCTTACTCTCTCACAGCAAGAGCGGAAGACAAATTAGTTGTATGGGGGCGGATCGGACTTCGTCTGGCGACGGTATGCAGCGAATTGTGGCAAAACGGAAAGAAATCGCCAAATCGTGGCGACAGAAAGCTTGCAAGCATGCATTCCCCCGGCTGGGTTCACAAAAGGTGGTGGCTACTTCGAGCTACCGGTAGGCAGTATGCATTCCCCGGTGAGGTTTCACAGGAGGAGTTGGGGATCCATGGAGGGTGCAAGGCAGGAACCGCACAACAGCACCGAAAGCGTAGAAAAGACCAAAGAACCCTCCACTATCCCCCGCAACGGCCGTCACTGGAAAACTTTTTGCCTCGCTCACTCTGTTTCAGTTCTTCACCTTCGTCTCTCCTCCCTTCTGTTGCGCGCCATATGCTGCTGTACTTCTTGCACCTGGTAGCGTATGTTGGGGATGAGGGCGACGGCTGGTCTTCGCTCTGCCCCTTGTGGTCCCCCGATTGGAGAGGGCGGCCGCGGTCGCTTGGTACGTGACTTCCCCTCCGCTCTGCAGGGTCCCCCGGGTACTGGCCGAAGGTGCTGTGGCTGTCGTGTTGGCGGCTCCCCCGCCGGTTCGGAAGGTCGTCGTGGGTTCACCTCTGTGTCAGACGGTCGGCCATCAACTCCCCACGGCCACTGCACATCACCACTTGTGTCTGGCTCCTTGTTGTTCTCGCTGTCCTCGTCAGTTGTTCCGCCCCAGTCGGGCGGGGTCTCTTCATCCCCCTCCATTGGCATGGGTGCAGGAGCGTTGGCCTCCACATTCGGCTCCACATTCCCCCTTGCAGTGTCTGGTGGCGTGCGGCTTGCTCGAGCTCGCCTTTGTCTCTCCCCCCGCTTGCTGTGCTGAGTTGTCTTCTTCAGCTTCAGCTTACGGGCGTCCTTCAAGAGCTTCGGGATGCGGTGAAGGAACCGCATGACAAAAGCGCGTGTCTCATTGGCAATCTTGGGTAACAGCTTGTCTGTTATCGTGACAAGCTTGTCTGCAGCTTTTCCGAGAGCACGGCGTTGGAGGAGTCTCCCCCTATAAGAGGCGTAGGTCTCCTGGTCCTTTTCCCCCAACTGTTTCCCCTTCTCGTAGAGCTCACCAGTGTCTTCATCTTGGTGCACAGTGCGCCCGATCCACACGTCGAGCGGGCTAGGGTGAAAAAGCAGGTGTAGCCCTCCCTTTGTCTCATGTTGCACCATTCCCCCAAGGCTAGGTGCTTGCCTGGAAGAGGAAGAGCTGGCTGCCTCCCCCTCTTGGGTCCGTGGCATCTCTCTCGGTCTCCCCCCCTTGGGGGTCGCCATTCTCACATTGGCTTTGCTCGTCACACCATGTAGACGACAGGCAGGATCGCTTCGCACATGTACTTTCCTTATACCAGGCCGGCAGATCCCCCCGGCATCACGGCACAGTCTGCAGTGCATCCCCACCAGGACGATTGCCTCGAGTTCCGCGGCCAAGTAGTATGGCGGTCCCCCCCTACTGACGGGCCACCTCCCGGAGGAGGGCCGTGGTCAAGGGGTCCCGTGAAGCGCAAAACCCTCGGGCCTCTTAAACAAAACGACCTGCGGCGTAAGACTCAAGCACCGCTGAGATTAACGATCCGGCTCCCCCGAGGGCACAACCTCAGGTTAACCTTCACGCTCCCCCCCCGATGCCAAGAGGCGGCACAGGCCTCTCAGCAAAGGTGCAGCACTTGAGCCAAAAGTTCTTGCTTTCTCGCTCACTCTCTCTCGTCTTTCTGTCTCACCTTTGTTACTTCTGTGAACTTGTAAAAAAGAGTAACAAGTGTAAAAGGGTGCGTGTACATGTCATACTGGTATCAAAAGGTGGCGACAGAAGCCATGAAACCGAGAAGCCAAAAGACCAGAAGACGAAAAGCCAAGAAGTCAAAAAGCTAAGAAGTCAGGACATCAGAAAAGCCACGAAACCAAGAACATCGGGAGCCCACAAAAACCAACGAACACGAACAAACACCAGAACCCAAGAAGCCAGGGGACCGCAACAGAACCAGCCCCAATGGCCAAAACTAACAACACAAACTCCCAAAATGCTTACAGCTCCCAAAGGGGCCAAAAAAGGGCCCATGCATGAGCTGCAAACGAGGCGCCTTGGGAGCCTGAGTTCCCCAGCAGAGACCGTAAAAATCAATCCATCAAGAATGTGATTGCTGACTCTACGATGGCTGCACATGATATCATCGTGCCCTCTCCGTGGCCTCCAATGCCAGGGTCGGCTGCTCCTGGAGCTTTTGGAAACTCTCACTGCAAACTTGTCCTGCTCTACACCCCGTTCGTGACATATGACTAGGAATGCCGGCTGACTCTCCTTGAAATCAAAAATCGATCCAGACGAGACTTCCATGGTCGCTTCGGGGCAGTTTTTGGAAGATTTCTTTGACCGCTGCTCGACTTTACGTGCTCTTTCGCCCGGTCTTGCAAACCTTAGACCAAACAGACCTTAACTTAACACCTGCTGACGGAAAGATATAACGTGTTGCTCACGTTGTGGTTCTGGCTCCTGTCATTATCTGCTCGGTCCGTCGGTTGGGTCCGGACGTTGAAGCTTCTTCGACGGCTATGTTATCTATTGGCCGCAACAGTTTCGAGCCGGGAAGCTGCTGAGCCCGTGCACAGACGCTTCCTGGTGTGCTTCTGGGTTCCTCAGCACCGCGCTAATCGAAACTTTGTATTTGGCTCGGCGCCAAACCTTAGGTGAAGACGGCTTGCGGCACGGAGAAGCCTCTGGCAGCATCGCATCAGCTCGCCATAGTACCACAAAGGAGAGGACTGCAGCAGAGCCAAGATGACTTGCATATTCCTCGGCGTCTCTTCTAGAAGATCGCAGATGTTATTGGGCACGTGGACTCGAGACTTGATCTTTTGCCGCTACACCTTTGTCCTGTTGCTTATGAGATAATGATACTCTGATACAGTCCTCCTGCTGAGCCTGAGGCAGACTTCATCATCTCCGTCAGGCCTCGAAGATCCTGATCGTGGTATGCGCAGAGAGCCCTGGCAGGAAGAACACTTTCACCTGACCCTTGCAGCACCTCATCGTTCATGTGCAAATACCCTTGTGCTTGTCCCCCCAAGCCTGTGTCCGGACTTTGCTCAGACCACGAAACTCTGTGACAGCAAAGAAATCTGCCTTTCTGCAGGCAATTCTGCAGCTGCTGCTGCTGCTTCGCTGCGAGCGCCTGGCCAAGCAATCACATCTGGAGACTAATCGACGACCTCGTGAAGTCTTTAAGCTCCCGACAAAGAGCTGGGCGGTCGAGTCCTGCACTTTCTGCGATGGTTTGGCTTAAAGTTGCGTAGTTCTAACAGCATGGCAAGTGTGCAAGTGGAGAAAAGCAATCCGATTCATTGGATCTGCAACCGAAAAGGCGAGTGTGTGAGATGGTATGATTGTCGGGCAGATGGCAGATACAGTGACTCAGTGACAGTAGAGTGTAAGCACACTTCGGCTCCCCGTTTAGGGTGAAGTGTGCCTTGTTGGAGCTCGTTGCTGTCTTTTCGCACGTCTTTGTCAAGGTTGTGGCGAGGTTTGGACAGGTTTGCATTTGCATTGCTTTGGTGGGGTACTAACTGCATGGAGCTGCTCGGAATCTCGTGCGCGAGCATATCTTCCCCCACGGCGGTGGGAACTGTTGCGGATGAGGTTTTGCACTTCGTGAAGCCGTTTCGCACTGCAGGACGCAACCTGTATTGAAGGTCTTCATTGCATGCTTGCTGAGCTACTCGATCTGTACAAAAGCAGAAACTCGACACTCCCTGTATCAGGCAAGACGTCTTCATGCACCACACCTCACCTCGACAGAGGCACGTAGCAGGCTGACGGCAGGGATGCCCTGTGCCTCCTGAGGCAAGATTCGTTCAGATCAATGAATCAAGCGACATCAAGAAGCTGTGTTTGAGTGTCATCTGGGCTACTATGACAGGACCAAGTACTTCCTTCAGAAGCTTGCACGAGCATCGGCCACCAGCCATCGTCACAGGGGCATTCCACAGATCGGCTGCCGTGTGTTAAAGTCTGAGTCTAAGCTCGGTGCTGCAGGCTTGAGGAGCCCCGACCGGACTCCTCTAGCCACGGCCTGCGCAAGACGACTAAGGTTGCGAAACTTACATTGCTTCACATTCCGGGCTGCCGACCGCTTCATACCAGCTCTCGGCAAGCTTGATCAAATGTCCTTACCGCGGTGGGCCCGTGCCAACATCATCACGGCAAAGGCCGTTGTGGAAATCATTGAGTGCAGGTCTTTGTGCGAATGTAGGTCTCAGTGCGCCCACATGTGACATTACCTTCAAAGCTTGCAATTAGGAGCTCAGCTGTTTATCTGTGCACGGCGGAGGCCTCTCCGAAGCGGTGCAGCTCGGACCAGCGTGCAAGGCTGTTTGCCACTTCGGTCGGGCTGCCTGTCGCAAAAGCCTTTTCGGCGCGACCTCGTGCTCGTCTACATGCAAGCAACCAAAGTGGCGCAGATGAAACATCGCGAAGGCAAAGTTCTTGCGCCCTTCTGGTTGAAATCACCTCCTCAAAAGCGTTCTTGCCCGACAAGACTTGTCGCAATGTGCTGGCAGCATTCAGCGCCGTGTTGATGATGGGAGCTCGTATCATGACAGGCACGACATCTCAGCAGCATGAATTCGACTGTGGGGCCTGGACGATGCTCGTGCTGTGAGAATCTACTCCTAAAGCCTTGTTAACACAGGTGTTGCTGCCATTGAGGACTGCTTGTTTTTGACGTGTGTTGCTCGTTCGGCGCGCAGTGCGCCAAGAAGCCTGGCTTTTGATCCGAGGGGTCAATCAGACCGCCTCAATGCAAACGCAAGCTGCGGCTGTGTCTGTGGAACGTGCAAGAACTCACTGACTTAGAAATAATTGGAACCACAGGTGTCCGGTGCGGGTTGGGCAACATTAGTATAGCATACTCTTGCGAAAGTCTCAAGTTTTTTTCAAGTCGTTGCACTGTACCACTGTTCACTACCGTGCCAAGCACCAACCTTGGTTTTGAAGATGTAGGGCTGGGGCAGGTGCAGGGGAGTTTGTCAAATTCGCGGCAAGAGGTTCAAAGCCTAAACTGTTCTGTTGAAGGTTGGGCTGGAGTGAGTCAAGCATGGCCGCAGATATGGGCTCAAACGAGATGACTCGATGACTCTGAACCGGAAAACTCATCCTTTCTCTCCGCCCTGAATTCCTTCTCCGTCCCACACACAACCCACTAGCAACATATTAAGCAATGTTTGCACGCGCATTAAGTTGGCGAAGCATTTGGGCCTGCCCGAAACGACCACGAGTCACCGTCTTCCAAAGCCTGCAAGGGGGTCAGGCTTCCCGAGCCTCGACCCTTTCACGGAAGAACAAATTAACAAAGAACTCAAGAGTCCCCAAGAGGTGCATGCAACTCTTTCACGCTTAGAAATGGCCGTCGGCTTTGTGAAAGATATCGGGTAGCAAAACATCAGCTGTGGTGCGTATTGCACGCACTCAATGCACTCTCCTGGCACTGGTAGCAGGGAGTTCTCACTATATCCACTGACGGAAAGCCAGACAACAGGCCTCGGGGTTTCCATTTCTATCATGTGAATTTCGACCGTCGAGCCCTTGCGCTCCACTTTCGTAACCTGGGCCAAATCTGCTGTAAGCACTGTAACCCCCGTAAACCCGAAGTGCACTCGCAGGCGCCTTAAATTGGGTACCGGGGGCAAGTATGTACCTCAGCCGAAGACATCAAGAGTTGTCACGAACTTCCTCTGTCTGTCAACAAATATGAAACCACCTACCAGTCAAATCATGTCTGTCCGAGCGTCTCTTCTTCGCTTTGGTACTGAGAGAAATCTCTGATGCCAACGCTTCGCGAAGCCGTGATCAGAAACAAAGTCGACTTCTTGGAGCCGCTGAAGCCTCAAGGAAGGGGCAAAATGTGCTTGGCCGTGCGTTTCGAGTACTCTGTGGTTCAACGCTAACCGGGCTAGACGTCAATGGTGGACATCCGGGCTGCTGCTCGCCACGCCCAAATCAGGCGTGCAGCTGGACCTTATAAAGAAAAGCTCTCGGAGGCCAATGCCTTCAGCTTCAGTGCAGCCTGAGAAAGCCACACTGCCCACCAGGTCACCGCTGTGCCAACCTGGTACTGGTCCGCTAGGTCCAGGGCGACCTGGCCAAATGGAAGGCGTGGTTCACCAAAGCAATGGCGTCTGAGCAGTTGCTTTTGTTTCACCTCCTTTTTATGCGGACCGATGGGCTGATCCTCTCAACCCCGAACATGCAACTTCAGGATGAACAACGTAATACTTGTCCATGGAACCATGCTCAGACGTGCATAGGATACAAGAAGATGAGAGCAAGAAGGCATGTTGCCCACGGGGTCAGCTCGAGTCTTCAGGATTGCTGGGGCAGCCAAAGGTGTATGCTTGCCATGCAGCAGATCCTGCAGTGCTTCTCCAGACGACTCCTTTCCTACGGAAAGAGTCGTCTTGAACCAACAATCGGCAACATTATATTATGAGCCATGGCCCGACTGTTCAGCTGACAGGTAGCAGTGGGTCAGAACAAGAAGACGATCAGAGAAGACAGCAAAGGTTGAACATTATGATCTCCAAGGCACTCCCCTGTAGAGCTGTCGCGTGGACTTCGGCAGCTTCTCCATCGCTGCGATGAACAGCCTGACGTTCAGCATGTTGGAGAGCAAGACAGCCGCAGAAACCTGCCCCCTGAGAGGTCCTGAGATACAGGAAATACTGTTTGGTCTCCTTTCGCTCAGGATCGCGCCTTGGGGTGACCATGGATAAGAAACGCTAGAAGCCACTTGACCATGTGTCGAATGCAGCCATGGTTCAGTGCTGCATTTAGTGCCTGCCACACAGTCAGAAAAGCTGATGGATGCTGGGGAATCGGGTTGCGCAACCAGCCGCTTCCAAATCATGATGGTGTGACATGCACCCGTATTCATGTGATCCGCTCAACTGCTTTCGCGACATTCGACAGTCTGCGCTTCGCTGGCTCGAGATGTGGCTTTGAGGCTGGTAGCAAGGGATATACTATGTTGCTGTATGCAGCAGCAGCCTTGTAAAGGTGGTTGGTGGTGTACAAATGCAGGGCGGCGGCTTCGTCGACAGTCAGTCCTGCTCCTGGTTCCAGCATGGATCGCAGATGTGAAGTAGCAGACCTAGTAGACAACATCACTGGCCGAGGATCTGGTCATTTTGCCCGCTTTAACCACCGACTCCTCAAAGCAACTCGGCACAAGATGGGACTTGACGAGCGAAGTCGAAAAGCGAGAAGACAAGCAAAGTGGCCTTTCCGGCTACAACTTTGTTGAAGGGCTTGCACGTGGAAGGCAGGTCGAGCAGCGGCTGCGACTCGACTCCGAGGATGTCTTCCTGGCGAGACTTCAGGAAACCAATGGACCTATGGACTCTGTTGGAGATGACTTGGTTTCCAAACCCAGGCTTGAATGACATTCTACAACATGGAATCACAGATTGCTCACGCTCTGTGTATTGAACATCTTTCGCGAGGTTTCAGCCGGATAGTCACGCCCATGCACTGAACCGACGGAATTCTTTCTGGATGTTGCAGGTCCAAGTGGCGAGGTCATCCGCACGGCTGTCCAGACCTGGAGACTCACGGAAGCGATCCATGCAATGGCGAGCCAGCCACAGCTTCTACCGTTCCATTGGATCGAGGCCGCTGCCGTCCTTCAGGCGTTCTAAGTACATCCTCGTCTGCAAGGAAGCTTCTGATTCGCGCTTCGCATGCTTCGCTTGCACACGATCGCCCTTGCAAGTCCGAGTTTCCTGTGCAGCTCCTGAGTTTCAGCCACAAAGGCTCCCATCTCGGCAGCATGCTCATCGATCCCCAATGCAGCCTGCACTCGGCAAGAGCACGTCTTCCACCTCCAGGCGGGGAGCTGATCGTCCAAGGCCTTCCAAGTCTTGTTCGGGAGCCAGTCGATCGGCTTCCCAAGCTTCAGCTCGCCTATGGCCTGCCAAGGCCGTCATGCAGCAATAATTTGAATGCCAGATCTAGAAAGATAAAGATGTGGGAAGCCTTGTTGATGTTGTCAAATATATTCGGCGCGTCGCAGAAGGCGTCTGCCATTGCAGCTGGATTCTTGTGCTCGATGTGTCTCACCTTAACCTTGGTAGATGACGTGATGCAGTTGCTCGAGATGGGCGGGCTGGCATGAATTGGTCAGGAGATTGCTTACTGGTACCAGCTGAGCGAGGGTTGCGCATGTGCTGGTGCTGTGAGCTAAGACCATGTTGTTCGCGAGGCGCAAACTGTCACGAACAGCCTAGCGGGCAGCATGTCTACTGTGGCACAAGCACTGAAGAACCACTGTAGGCGACCGTAGCCTGAGGAAATCATAATTCCGCTCCGGTTCCATCCTGTCCACTCAAGCTGAACACCATGCCTACGGGTTGGTCCCCGGCGAGCAGCTTTCGGGTACTTCGCAAAAGAGCACTTGTCGAGAAATCGCTTGGTCTTCAAGCTTTCCGTGCCCCACCAAGCCTCATTTCGGGGCTACATTCAAACGGGAAACTTATGGCGTGTTGCTTGCGTTGCCGAGCAGATCCGAGCAGCAAAGATTATGGGTCGATCATTCTTCTGGCAGTCTTCCAGAATGGCATTGACAACGGCTTCCATGACTGGCTGCCAGAAAAGCAGATGCTCCTTTCACAGGGCATGAAACAGCTCAGCGTCGGCGCGCACTCTGGAAACTCCGGGTGCTGTCTGTGTCACGAGCGACCAGAGCGCCTCCACAACTTCACCAGCACGAGTGCCCTCCACGGGCTTGATCGTGCAAGCGGCATTCATCAGAAGAACACCTTGTGCAAGTATTGCCTGAGATTCCAAACATGATGGTGACACTTTGCGCAGAGCTCTTGCAGAATACAAACTCTAAGTCTCTAAGTACGCTGAAGCGCTTGAAACCACTCGGGGGGACCAACAATTCCTCAGCCACTTCGATGATTTCAGCTGTGCTTATCTGCAGAAACTGGGACTAAACACGTTCTTGGCTCTAAGATGACGTCCCTCCTTGGCCAGAAGCTTTCGCAAGTCTGGCACTTTGGTCGCTTTGGCAATCTTGAACTTGGACATTGCCGCTGCTTTGATTAGACAACCTGGCCAAACTTCACTGAGGAGATGGCGAAATGGATTCTGAAAGGCCCTCAAGGCAAAAGCAAATTTCCGCTGCGGTGCCAACGTGCGTCAAAGGTACGCATCGTGACCACAGACCCGAACTTTTTCGACTCCCATGAAGTAATTGAATTATCGAAGTGTGCAATTCCGGTTGCAGATTCTATCCGAGGGTATGGTGACTGGCCCAAGGACACCACTCGCCATCCAGACGGCAGGTTCGGCTTTAGTGCTTGAAAAGTCAGTTCTCGGACTGGGATGATGCCCTTGTCCCGGCTGGGACCAATAAAGCTTGGAGCATCACTCAAACTGTCCAGGACAGGTTTCAAGATCTTCAACCAGGTGCCACCATGACCCATCCCAGCAAATACAGGCGCAAGCTGTAAAGGGTCTGAGGCATCGGATTGATCTTCGAGTTTCTGCTTCTTTGCAGGAGCCATGGGGGCGAGGTCCCCTGCACCCGCTGGGCCAGGCCGCTTCTTGGGCGCACAGTCTGCGCTCGCGGTGCTCGCGCTGGCATGGGTCGGAGTAGCCTTCGCCTTGGCGGAGCGTTTTGCCTCAGCTTTGGCCTTGGGACCTCGCTTGGGAGCCGCTGAAACTTCCTCCTTTGGGGGCCTAGGCCCTTTCTTCGCTGCGGGTGCAGCCGGTGCCGCTGTTGCCGTCGCCTCGATGGCCTTACCTCGTGTATCCAGCTTTCCATCTACCACGCGGCCCCAGGTTGAGGGTGAATTGCCAGACTTGTCAGGCAGAAACCAAGTGATCTTCACTCCGGCGCTGGCCTTCTTCGCCCACTCTGAGCTTTTCCTCTTGTTCTGCTCCATGGCTTGGAGGTCAGGCAACTTGAGCGATCTGCAGCCGTTTTTCGCAGTCGCCACCTTATAAGTTTTACCACTAGCAAGTGTCACCGACGACTTGCCATCATGTAAAGCTGCATGAGCAGCCAGCGCATCTTCTTCGGAGATTGGCATCGTATCTAAGGCACGGAGCAGGGCTTGCCTTTGGCAAGGGCTCGAGGTCGACAGCTTCAGGATCCATGCAACCTCATGCAAGCCGAACCGAAAGCTCCGAAATTCAAAACGGAACCTCCTAAATTCAGCCCGGGTATACAGCACACTTTATGCAGCGCTGGGCAGGCGTGGTACTTGTGCACGACTAGCTCGCACAGCCGCTCGATGTTTCGCCTCCCGATGCTTCTCTTCGATTTATTCGATTTGTACCTAAGTCCTCTCATCAAGCAACACAGTCAGCGGATATCGAGAATTGGTGGTCTGGCAGGACATGTAGCCATCATCGAAATCGAAATTAACCACGACGCCTTGCTGCCCTTCATAGTCGGACTCGTCATCGATAATCTCAATGCGATCACCTGGATAGAAATCCTGTGAAGTCTCGACGTATTCCTCGTTGTACACCTGGCGCCAACGAGTGCGTTCTTTCTCGTGAAAAGCTGCAACGTCTTCGGGATTGCGCTTCACAACGCGAACATCGTTGATCCCGAACCATTCCTTCTTCCCCGCTAGCACCGGCGTGAAGGAGGGCCGCCTGTCAGACGAGTGTGGCCACCTCCCTGAGCCGAAGCCGGAGCACAACACGCTCCGTGTACTCCAGCTCCGCTGAGCCAAAAAGGCTTCCTGAGCGGCTTCCTCTTTCTTTGAAGTCAACGAGAACCTCACTGCGAGCATCGACACCGAGGCGATGAGAAGTATAGCTCTGGACCGTCTCACGCGGCCGGACACAAGTCCATTCTCGGAGAGCGCTGTCGGCATGACGCTGGCCGGGTAGCCTTTGCACCACCAGGAAACGCTCTTCGAAAAAACCGAAGTGTTCTACAGCAGGGGTTGATGCCATCCTATGCATTGGTACTAGGGTGGTTTGGGCTCTTGCAGTTGTTTCCAGGACCTTCTGCACACATTTGTTTAGGGGTCTTTGCAGCGGTGTCCTTGGCCAGCCAACCCAAAGCAGTGCGCAAAAAAAGCAGGACCATGCTCCCATCTCCCATCCATTGGCTGACCATACGTGTTCTGACATGCTTTTTTCTCCGCAACCACGACTTTCGGTGTTCAGCCTTGGGCTGTGCACCCAATCTTTCTTGAATCTCTGGTAGCTCAAGCTGTACAATAGATCGGCGTACTCAGCAGGCCTCCTCTATCCTCCTCTGGGTGCTGGTCGAGTGGAACAACGGTCAAGCATGGGGATGTCAAGAGGGTAGCCGCTGGTAGCCGCGGAAACCCGCGGGCTGACATCAAGTGGTCAGAGGCCACTGGATGCTGAGCGGTAGCTGCCCACGGTGGCCGCAGCACTTCCTGTTTTCAGGAAGAGCCTCGTCTTTGCACGCCTTGAACAACTATCCAGAGCAAAGCCTAGCGAAGCGAGAAGCGGCAACTGTTACTTTGAGCTGTGTTAAAAGCAGACAAGCACCCGGCAGAATGTGAACAATTTTCCGAATTAGCCGCATGAGAAGTCCGTTTGAAGGATGAAGTTTCCCAAGCTGCAAACGATCACTTTTTGCCGGTAGCTAGCCTCAGGGCCTCAGCGTGAGCATGGCCATACTAATGTTACAATCCGTCTGTGCCTGGCACACTTCCGAACGCACCGCTGGCGCTGTCTGCCTGGGCTTTGGCGGTATCCAACTTGACTAACGGCTGCACGTGCTCTCATTTACACGATTCAGCAGTATGCATAAGTCTGCACCCGTCCGGAGCTTGATTGAGGCCAGCACATGGTCCTCCTTCGCTGACAATCCTGAGCAAGAGCAGGTGAAGATACCCATGCTCAGCCAGAAAGATTCAGACGACCACAAGTGTGACCGCACCGGGCGCCAGTCTGCGTAGCAGCCAGCTGAATCGACGAGAGCTCGTACCAGGAGATGGAGGCGACACCGGGCGCTCACTCTGAGCCTTCGAGACTCTGCGACCATGCAGTCCAGTGACCAGTGCAGGGCTGCATCTCAGACGCAAGCCGCTCAGATCTCAGAATGCGCTGGGCATGACTCTCGAGGCTCCGGCGATGGGAGTCGCTCCCGCCGCGTAGCCTTTCAAACTGGAGCAAGGGCTGCTCCGTGTGGGGGGAGGCCGGGAAGGCTTCGGCCGGCTTCATGCGGCTTCCGCTCACTTCGGACTTCTGTGGATTCGGTGGCATCGCTTCGCTGGCAAGTTTAGTTTGTCGTTCAAAGCATCACCCGCCAGTTTGGGGATTCGAGGCAGGATTCCTTGGTTTCGGCTTGGGACACATCCCCCTTGACTTGCAAACCTCTGCCTGTGGGCAAACTCCCAACTCGGCGAATCAGCGTCAGCTGGGCTTACTCGGAGCAGCGTGGCTGAGCTGAGAGTGGCTTCTCTGCCAAAGCTTTGAAATCTCTAGTATGGGTCCAAAATAGTCTCCGCCATCCCATACCCTGATCCCTGCAAGTACTGGCTTCGGGGGCAGGACTAAACACTGCATTCTCCTTCGCTTGCCCTATCCGCCTGATTTGGGAGATGTCTGCTCACTGCCCACGGCTACAGGGGAGCCTTCAGCATCCGCGGGCATCGCCTTGCTCTCGCTTGAAGTGCAGCTTGTCGACGGTGCCTGTGCGATTTCTCTCGTCCAGGCTGTCAGTTGTGACAATGCCCGAGCCTCCGTCTCATCGTCAGGCTCCGCCGTGCCGACGGCAGCAAGCTTTTCCCAATCACCGGCCTCGATTCAAGGATCAAAATTAACGTACTCGCGCAATCAGGACGAGCAAACGCCTCCCCAGCGACATACTCCCGACGACTCCATGAGAAACCCAAGGACATGCCTCGTTCGCATGAAAGAGCTCCTCCTCAAGCATGACGATCATATCCAGGCTTGTCTGGACTGCCGGATCGACAGCGTGTGCCGCATATCGAAGCTTGGAAACCTTTTCAGTGGCTTTGGTGCGACTGAGTGCCACGAGGTCGTCAGTTGCTAGTCGAATGGCAAACGGTGTCCGCTTTCGGTCTGGACGATCGCCGGTTACAGGACCGGCTACGAAAGCAAAAGTCAGGACACGCAGCTGTCCCCCTCCAATGCACACCACGAAAGTGGGTTGGTGGAGAACTGGGTCCAGGCCGCATTCGGAAACGAGCTGCATGCCAGGGCTGACCGAAATGTTGACTGCGCACTCTAACGCAAGCCTTTGAAGAGCTCCTTCTTCGATCTTGTTCCGCTTGAGGTAGTCTGGATCCGGCGTGTCGTCGTCGAACTCGCTCGGCACTCCCAGTGTCCCCCGGCGGTGGAGAAAGGGTACAGCGACGCCTTTGTTGTCAAGGCCATAGCCTTCGTCCAGCAGTTCTTGACAGATGGAGCTTGCTAGTGCATCCAAAGCAGCTTCACAAGAAGCGGCGCTAACTTGGCCAATAGACTGATGCTGTGGGCGCACCGGATACAAACGTCTTCGGCCGAGCACCAGTATACTTCCACCCTGCATCGTTCTGCCCAAATCTCTCAAGCGCTCGAGCCGCTCAGTTTCAGAAGAGGGCAGGGACACTTCAACCTGAGGGCGTCAAAACATGACACCTAGCAACATGACGGAAGCTTCAGGCTTATTATCCAACGACCACACCTCAGTCTGTTCATGTAACTGTTCATTCTTAGCCATTCCTTTTCTTGATTCTCGAATCGTTTTGGCAACCCCGACCACGCCCTCGGGACGCTCATGAAGGCCTGGTGGAAGTGGCGGCAAGCCTCCGCGCCAAATGCGGCCCTCACCGATTTTGCTCATTGCGCTCACCAGCAGCTCCTTTGACGTCAAGGCCGTGGCGGCCAACTTGTTACCCAAGCGCCGAGTGCCCGCAGCCCAGTTGACCCGGGAGGCCTCCAAGCCCGGAGCTTCGCAGTTAGGGCCGCTCGATCGAGCGACGACGGCCCGCATGCTTGACTTCATCTTGGGATACTCGAGGCTCGAGGAAAGCTTCCATCCCTCCATCTGCAAGAGGGGTGCGATCCTACTACGTTGTCTCCCGAACATGATGTCACTTGAGCAACTCTTGAATCCCGCCTTTCGCCAGTGCCTGATCTGTTTGAGAAAATTGTTCTTCCAGTCCACGTTTCATATCTTTAACCACAGGGGAAGCCGGTGAGCCAAGGTTAACGAAAGCATCCCGGTCGTCTCTCGAGCATCAGGCGATCTGACCCAAGCAATCGCACTTTGCCTCTGGAAGCATGGGTGACCTCTTGGGCTGTAGGAAGCATTGTGGCACAACTCAATTTTCTTCGGCAGCGTCCTCGTGAAACAAGTTGGACGCAATCAACTCCTTCGTCGAACATTTAACTCAATTGCCCAGCACTCTTTTGTACTTCTTGGTCAGAAGGCACGACTCCACAACAGTGATCCCCCAATCCTGACAAACATCAGCATTTCTCTGATCCTTGCCTGGTTGACTAAACTTGCATCGTTTTAGCTCCTTCCCGCTGTTGTGCCCGGCTCCATTAACTCCGGCTCTTTCTTTGGCCTTTGAGCGAGAAGACTGCATAGCTACTACCGTCTTGAGACCGGTGAATGCTGCCCTCCTGCCTGCTCCTCATTCAAGCAGCCTAGGATGCCATAAATAACCTCAAGCAGTATTGAGCCAACATGCTGAGAATGCCGCACCTGCTGCATAAACGTCCTGGGAAGCGGAACTGGGACCTTGTAGTCCAGGTTCAGTCTCATGATGCCCTGAGTAACGGCCTCCGCGCCGAATCACCATGCGGTCATGACACGCTTTTGAAGCCCGAAGAGCACCTCGCTGATGTACTCGAAATGCATTGTGCCGCCCTTTATCAGGCAGCCGATGCCTTGCTAACAGCGGCGGTGCTCTTGATCCGCTCGGCACTGAAGGCACTGGAAATCGAAATAGGTTATGTTCTGGCCCAGCTCTGGCTGAGTACGGTCTGAGTGGTGGGAGTTACTTCCGAGCCCCTTGTGTTATTGTTGAATGACTCGCACCACAAGAATGGTCCTCTTCGATGTACCGAATGCAAGTCTACCACTGGACAGGTTGGGAGTGGTGGCGCAGGCAGGACAACTCATTGACGGCACCCTGGAAATTTATCCAAGCTGCAGATGATTCCATCAAACCGACCAGAATCCAAAAGTACCTGCATGCGCTCGGCAATAACACAGGATACAATTATAACGTGCAAGTGCAGAATGCAGAATGTAGCGATAACGAGCCCTTAAGCGAAGGCCTGGGCAGCCTGAGGAATTTCATAAGATCCGGCCTCGGATGTGGTCCCGTGCGATGCTTTCGCAAGAAATTTGTCATCTGGAGCATCGGAGCCCGGCGACATGTTCGATGGTAATGTTAGTGACCTCGTCTGAACTCTGTGAAGCTTCACTTGGGCAAGGCTACAGACGCAAGATTGGAAGCGACATGGCCACATTTACACTGGCCATAAGGCATGTCTTGGCTACGGGCGTTGCAAGACTTCAGGGCTTCGACAGCCCCAGCAACCAAGTTGTCCTGCAGGAAGGGAAATGTACAAGAGTAAAGTAATTAATCTCTGATGCTCTGAGGCTCCGTCACACACTATTGAGTTCCATCTTGCGCTCACGATTCCGATTCGAAGCCCCGCGCCATCATGGGTCGGCAGATCCTCAGAGCTGAGCTTAGCAATCTGGCCAGCCTGTGCCACAAACGAGGGTAACTCGGGGCTGGGCCAGACCACGGATCGTCTGGGCACTGTCAGGGTTCGGAGCCTCGAGGGCCCGCTAAGCTGTGGTTGAGACCAAGTGGACCGGACAAGGTGACTAAGTGCACAGCATTCTCGATTTTCCTTTTGGTCGCCATGCGGCGGAATCGAAGGACACCCCTTCGATTAGTGTAGAGACAAACGCCTGAAATGGCTGGCCTGAGCCAAGATCGCAAGCTGCGATTTGGACCAAGTTACACTGGAATAAAGCAAGCGGGAGTTAGGCACACCCTCACTGCTCTTGACGCCCCGAGCTTTTCCTTCGGCACTGCAGCATTTACTTCTTCTGCCAGAATTTCGGCATCGCTTGTCGACGGTAGTTTCTCCGGCAGCTTCTGCATTAGGTACCTGGACGCACGATGCCAGGGCAGAGTACCCGCCGCCAAGCATGCAATTGACATCCAGCTGAGTGGTTCGCAAGTGCATCAATTGAGCCAGCTCCTGCGGTGTGCAGTGCGCGGAACTCGGGCTGTGGTGGCTCACACACGGGTGGCGCGTGCCATGTAGAGTTGTTGTTTCTGCAGGTGGAGCACTCGCTTCACTCGCTATCACTAAGTCACTAAGCCACTCGGAGGGCTCATGACGGCCAGAATTCCCAGCAGGTCAACACAGCAGTGACACTTGCAGCCCTGGCGTCCTTTTCGGACCATGTCCGGGTTGTGCACTGCAAGTAGCATGCGTTGAGTTCCTTTTCAGCACGTCCCTGTCGTTTCGCATGGAGGCGGATGGTACTAGATTACTGGATCTGTCAGGCTGCGTTGATTGAAAAGGCGAATTCAGCTTGGTGCCGATAGAAGGCTTCGGAACTCGAGACGCAAGTCAGCAACATCCATGTCCTGCGTTGCTCGCCGCAGCAGTTGGGACTCGTATGTCCCACCTGGCACTCCACAACCCATCACAGCGATTCCAAACTCTCATTGAGGCGCATACTGAGGATGGTACCCGACTGCGCTTGCAGTAGCCACCTGTTCAGCCTCGAACGACATAATAGACGTTAATAAAGTCTACATCTGCGAAACACCCTCCGAGACCAGGGGTGCAACTCTACAATACGTCGATCTGCTTGCCTCACTTCCTCAGTCCGCCATCGCTCACAATTTTTGAAAGCATTTTGGTGCATTTCGGTCCCCTGCCGTTTTAGTTTGAAGGGCAGAGATTCGCAAAGCTACGCTCCTTGTGGGGCCTGGCTGCTCCTGTAAAGAACTGGTCCAAAACAACCCAAACCTGTCGCTTCCAGTCCCAGCCGCTGCGGCCAGCTTGTGGAGACGTTGAACCTGGGCACTCCCCACAGCCCTCCGGCCAGGTTCGAAAGCTCTTCTGATGTATGCTCCCTGCTCCCTCTTATCTCAGACAAAGCCCGAAAAGCCCCGCACTGCATCTTCGCCGGCAATGCCTCGGTTTGCTGACGAATACGTGTAGTGCCACGTAGGCATAGCTGGGACAACACACTTATTGCAAAGGCCCCAGTGCAGGCAGCATCTTTTCTGAGTGTTTTTGCGGATCTTGCGGTGTCATTCGCGTCGCGGGTTGGACATGTCCTGATGCTTCGATCCCAGTGCCATGGACATCCAGCCCGCAATGAATAGGAGACCCCCTATCGGCGTGATGGGTCCTAAAAGTTTTCGCAAACCATGACCTTTCGGAAGCAGGACCAAGCCGTAGATGCTTCCACTAAAACAAAGGCAGCCGGCAGTAAACAACTTCGGCGCAGAGCTGCCCCTGCGAAGAGCCGCAGCAACACCCACCATGACGGCATGAATCATCTGATACCAAGCAGCTGTTTTCCACGACTCCAGAAGATCGGGATCGGTGACGTACTTCTTCAGCCCGTGTGCACCAAACGCACCCATGGCAACACCAACAGCACCGAGCATGCCGCTGACAGCCTGCAAACATCGGCAAACTCTTGAAAATATCTCAGAATCTCAGAGTTACTCTGACTTTGTTTCCGAACTCCCGTACACGAACGCACTTGGCTCGGTCAAGGGGCCGTCCAGTCCATGGCTTCAGCGCAATCAGACTCAAACCTACCTAGTTGACCTAGCCTTTGGACCTCGTCAAGACCTTGAGCCACGTCAGTCGGTGAGCTGCTGGGCCATGCACTGCTGCAGTTGGAACACAGTGTGATTCACAAGATGGATGGCAATTTCCAACCATCCAACTTGCTGCGTCTTCTGCCCAATTCGGGTCGCGGGTGGACTCTAAGCCGCGGGCTAGAAAGCTGGGACTCCTCGTCCAAAAGGCGCTGCAGCAAGCCTTGGGGCAGGACTTTGCTGGCGAAGCAGCGCCCATCAAGCTACCTCTTGAGATCGCCGCCCTCAAACGCGGACACCATCGCGCGATCCCTTCGCGCACTGCCTGAAGCTCAGCTCGGTGGATTTTGATTGGACATTGTGAGCAGAAGCGACTGTCGTGGCGTGACGGAGTGGGAGGAGCAGGGGCACTCTTCAAGGCGGGGCTTGCCCTTCACCCGTGAGACAAGTTAAACCTAGACAGCCCCGATTCGTGCCATCTACTCTAAGGTTCGTGCCATCCAAGTCCATCAAAGCTGCGACCTGTGTCCGCAATAAGCCCACACAGCACTTCAACAGGAAGGCAAACTGCTGTCAGCCTCTGGCTGCAATCTCAGCCCAGCACGGATGCGTTGTCCGTACGAGAATAAATGGTTTCCAAGCCCCTGCAGGGCTTTGCATGCCATGCTAGAACACATCTGACATGCAAGCGCAGCGTCTCATGTAGATTTGCGAATTGCACCAGCACGCGTCCTCTGGATGACTCTGTCGCGGAAGGAGCGCACCTGCCTCCCGCTAAGAAAGTAGAACATGGCAGTCCTAAGCCGTGTTCTGCAGTTGTCATTCAGTACCCAACATGACCAGCGTCAGCATGTATCAGCATGTTGATTATCATTAACCTGAGAAGGGCACCACAGATCATCCACCAGGAAACATGCGGCATCGCCTCTCACAAAGAACCTTCGCATGTGCGATCTACGCCACCAAGCTGCACGAACCTGGAGACAAGCAGATCCGAGCCTGTGAAACTCAATAATGCGCCCCAAAGTTGTGCTGTCCAGCTGCAAGGCGACGATATCGGCGCCCTGGGGCACCATGAGCCCGCCTCAGACAAACAGCAGCCAGACCAGACCAGACCGACAGACGGACAGACGCAAGAAGCTCCCCCAGCCCTTTGTCCTCTGAGCTAGCTCACGGAAGAAGTAGGCGAAGAAAGAGCTGATGTAGTCACATCCAAGGCTTTGCTGGATCTGGCACAACTCGCCTGACACAACTCACGTTTTCTTCCATGTGTCACGTGCAGAAACCCAAAACGCATGGCTGCAGCCTCAACTCCCCAGATGCGTCTCTGAAGCCGTTTCTCTTAACTACTTCAGCCCTGATGTGTGGAAGAGATGCCTAGTGCTGACGGTAGGTAAGCATGGTCATCGTCGAGCAACATCAACATGTCGCCAGGGATTGCCCTTAGAGTCTGTGAGAAAGACAGCAGGTGACTGCCAGCAAGAAGCCAAAGGCAAAGCGTGTTGCTAGGGCTCCGAGGCTTTCGCCTGCCAATCGATCTTTGAAACCAGTCAGCTGCCCCAAGTAATTTGGTGCCAGGTCCTGCATCCTCTTCCAACCAGTTGACCTGGACAACAGGAACATGTCTGGTAAGCCTTTCTCTAACCTCTCCGATCTCGCTGCTCCTCCCCTGTGCCTCCATCCATGGATGCTTTGCCATGAGGCAGGTCACGTGATCCGGTAGCTCATACTTGCGGCCTCGCATGATTCGAGGCCAAGCGAGGCCATTCTGACAAAGGCTTGCTTTTGAGTCCTGCCGCGCAGCCATTAAAGTCGGAGCTGCTACGCATCCCTTGTGCAGAATTTAGCCAACACCTCTATTACAGCAGGACATGGCTGAGCCTTCGCGCGCCGACAGCCGCGGCAATGAAAGAACGAGCCGATCCGGTCGCCTAGACCTCAATGTGATCTCTCGACATCACTTGAAGACACTCGGAGGTGTCGCACTGGCGAAGATGGGTGCAGCGCTGGCTGGCTATAGACTCCAGCGCTGGCCCAATTCCTGAAGAACGCAGGCCGGCGGCGAAATCTAAAGAGCAGTCGGAGTCGAAACTACACTCACAGCACTGGAAATTAGATTCACAGACGGCTCCCTCAATCGTAAGGCCCTTGACATAAACTTCGAGCACTGAAGATTCGAGGAACGTCAAGCACGTCAGAAAATCACGTCAGCATTTGCAGCACCAAAATGCTGAGGAGGGCCTTCCAGACGCGACGGCAAGGACGTCATGCCAACAATTAGCAGCGGAGCCCTGCCAGAAAGCCAAGAATGACAAGTCTCCCTTGAGAAGGGCTTCGAGGGGCAGAGTTGAGCCATGTTTGTGAGCCTGCATGTGTCAGGCATTGGACTCGGCATCGCCTCGGGGCGGTGCCGCTATACGCCGTTGAAACCACTTAAAAGTAACTCTGTTGACAGAAGAGATCAGGCTCCTTCCGTTGTTAGCTTTAACCCATCTCGAGTGGTGGGAGGCGTGCGACGGAAGAGCTGACCCGGCGTCGTGTCGCCCACGCCTCATGCGAGTAAGCCCATCAGCCCTGCCATGCTCCGCAGAACGTGCCTTGCTTCTGCGCTCAAGGTGTGTCGCAAAGGTGCTGCCGCACTGTTTTGCCGTCGTCTGAGCTTCAGAATGGAAGTATGTCAGGACACGTCTCGTTGTCTCGCAATATCTCGCAATCAATGGAGACCGCGACTTGCCTGAAGTTTTCCTGTTCCACATCGGCTTACTTAGTTGCCCCGCCGGACTGCGAGGATTGGTTGCGACGAGGTTCTTCAGCACGTCGACTTGCTACAAGTACGAGTACAATAAAGAGGGGGGCTTTGGAATAGGTAAGTCCCGTACTCGGCTTTGACAGAAAGTGCTTAAGCACTGCTACGGTGCATTGCTTACTCTATCTAAAGCACCGGGAGGTTTCCAATATCGAGTGGGCATTTGAAGCATGAAGTGTGCTCCCGCCTTTTGCAAAATCATGTAGATGCAACCCAAAATTGAGAGGCAACGAGAGCGTCCCGCGTGGCTGGAAACTAGCTTTTCGTGTTTCCAGTATACTCAGTAACGCTGCTGCGATAGGCAGCTTAGGTTTCAAACCTTCCGCTTATGTACAGGTTGTGATTCGACGCACTTTTGGCATCATCTTTTGCCAGAAAGCGATCGCTGTCCATTCGAAGCGAGAAAGATTCCTCGCCTCGGCCGTGAGAAGCAAATGCAGCGGCGGGTTTGGACTCGGACCGCGACCGCGAGGCAGGGACCGATGGTGTTCGAGCGTCCCGCCGCCTGGAGAGCGCCTCGGAGCGGACTCCGACTCGCGCACTGAGGGAGACGGAGACTTCTGCTCAACGCGACTCCCTCGTTACGTCAGCAAGGCACTTTCGGTGAAGGAGTGCCGCCTCTTCTGCTCAGCCTGCTCCCTATAAGCTTCGTAAAGGTCTGGACAAACAAAGTAAACTCTTCTCGCTTTCTCCGTCGCAAGGGTGGCGCCAAACCTTGAAAAGATTGCCAAGATAGCACTGGACAAGGAAAAACTGACATCACACCAAATGAAGTCAAACAGTTAGACATGCAGTTCTTCGTGCCGATGCGATGCCTCTTTGCGGGAAGCGGAGCCTGGCATAAAGGACGACAGTCAGGCACATCCCCGTGCTTCCATGCAACTTCAGCTGCCTGATTGCTCAAATGCTCGAGCGCTTCTTTGCTTTCGGTGTCTTCAATGTCATCGCCCAGCAAGGAGTCACCTGCGAGTTCGACTCGTGACACTGGACGCACCCGAATGCAGCTGCTCGATCCTGCTCGCATCGCAAGCAATGACTGGTGGTCGCTGGAAGCTGTCCAGACTAAAGCGTGCTGATAAGTTCTTCTGATGACTTCCGCTGCCTGCCTTGTCCACAGACATTCTCAGAAACACAAATCACAGAAGCATGTTCTGTAGGCAGGTTCTGTTGCCAGAAATCCGCAGACGGGTGGCAGATCGTGAGATAGCGTGAGAGGAACTTCGAACATGATGAGATAAGGAATAGATAAGGATGTCACAACGGGTCCCATGGAATATGGTCGAGACAAAATTCAATTTAAAGACAACGGGGCAGCAGCAATGAGAAAGATTTAGGAGTCTTGATTTCACTCCTTCTATCTCCGAATAACCACTCATTTTCGGCTGGTTTTCTACGAAAAACGGAATGCCTTGAGATATTTGGTGACATATGTCCAGGCTGACACCCGACAGTGTGAGAAACAGCTCGTGGCGGCATGCACTGGCTTCCAAGTGGCTGTTCACGACCTTCATTTTTTCTGGCCCCCCCGGCATTAAGACAACAATGCGCATGGTCGTATTCCGCTGAGGGAAACTACGTACTTGCAACACAATTCGGAAACAGCAGATGTTCAAAAACAAGAGTATCAAAATGCGGTGCAATGTCGCAACAACATCACCTCGCCTCGAGTATACTTCCAGCCTGGAGGATTCGGGGGGTCAGGATAATTCTGTCGTGGGGGTTGAGGCCAGATTTTCGGGCCGCCTCGGTGCTGTTTTTTTCGCGGCTTTCCGGAAAGAGCTCTGCTCAGAAAGCGCTTAGGTTTTTCGAACACTCTGCATGTCGATTCTTTCGGGGTTGGCTGAGCCCCCATTCTCGTTGCGAAAAGGAGGGTTTGCTAAACCCGCATACTCGGCTCGAAAATGTGGTTGTTTCAGACCACTTTGTCGGCCTTTTTTGTTTACTAACCCCCAAATTCGGATCGAAAACGTTTGGCCAACCCACGACCTCGGCTCGAGGAGTATTCTTAAGTTTTGCTCCTGTTGGACTCAGACGACGCACAGAAAAGATTTTGTACAATTCGGGCAAACATAGGAAAGTCTGAAAGACTGCGCAGAGAGAGAGAGAGAGAGAGAGAGAGAGAGACAGACACAGAGATAACAGTGTACTTCTGATGCTTGTGGAAACACAAAACGACGGGGATCAAGCAGACATCGTCCGTAGTCCTTCGATGCCCTGCGGGGTTGCCGGAAGAGCCGCCCGGCCTTGGAATTCCGAACTGTTTCTTTGTTCAGCTAGGACGGGCCCGCATTGCGGGGTTAAGTCGAGAAGCACACGACTTGAAGTCTTTCCAACTGTGCTCTTCGACTTGTCCCTGCAATGCAGGCCCAGGCCTGTCCTAGCTAGTTAGGAGGCAAATCTGGGCTTGGTCTCAAAGCTTGGTCCAGGGTTGCTGGGTTCAGGATTTACGATTTACTGTTTCTGGGTTTCTGGCCTTGAAAGTTGAGCGTTTGTGGTTTTGGAGTCTTCAGGGTTTAGGAGTTTCAGGCTTCTGGGCTTAGGGGTTTAGACTTAGGATTTCTGGATTCAGGGTTACCCTCTGCGTCTGGAAACATTCATGTGATTTGAAGCTGTGGTCAACGCAAGCAAATTTAGGGGTCAGATCATCAAGGGAAGATTTCGTGCATCAATGGCTTCAGTCCGAACACACCAAATGTATCGGCCGACAAATTTCCCCACCATGTGCCAAAATGACTCTGAAAAGAACATATGCAATTCAAAAGGCACTTTGGGAAAACCAGGAAAATTAGGACACTTGGACAAACCAGAATATGAACAAGGCATACTAGCGATTCCACAAGCTTCCACTGTCACAGATGAATGTTAAAGGGACACGCCGCACGACATTTTCGCTGCTAGCCTCTGTTCGGACTTGGCTGTGTGTTCCACCCCAGTTTTGCTCATTTGCGGAAAAGGAAGGACAACCCGGTGCACAAAAGCCTAGAGCAACTCATGGACACTGCTTGGATAGGAAGTCTTTGCATTCTTATGCCAGGTTTTCAAAATCTTTTTAACGTTTTCCGATGGTTTTCAGAATTATGAGTCTTACTCGAACTCTTTGATGACTTTGCTAATTAACGCTAATGTCGCATGCTGCGTGTCCGGCAACTTAAGCAACCCCTCTCTGAAGAAAATCTCCAAGATTCTAGAAGATTTGTTGCCAAAGGCCGGGGCCAGGCAAGTCGTAATCACATGTCTGAAAACATGAGCCCCCCCTCTGCAAGGCATTGAGGGGGTCTCCCACCCCCCGCTTGTGGCGGGGTCTGCGAGGACTTCTTTCGGAGGGGAGAAGGCTTGATCATTTTCCACGGTTTCCTAAGATTACAAACTCCTCAAAGCTGCAACGTTCGCCGCAGTGTTTGCAGGAAGGTCGAAACACACATTGAAGGCTTGCGTTTCCCGGAATTTACCGTTTCGTATATCCATGCAGAGTTTGGGTGCTGAGAACTGCAGGGAGAATTTGCGAAAGTATGCCAGGATGGTGCGGTGCACGGGGCTGAGTTCGAGCAATAGTGATTTCAGCGATTTCAGCTGCTTGGCCAATGGAAGCTGTCTGCCTCCGGGAGTCAGCGACGACGGCAGAGAGAGGTAGATCAAAGCACTGATGCAAAGGCAACAGGCTGAAATGGTGTATGGCAGGCCTCAGAAACGGCGCAGAACTTTGCACTCAGCACGCTCACGTGGAAAGATAGCACTGGACTGCTGCAATCGGTGTCTGGCGAAGTATCCAACTTAGACAAGTGTCCACGAGATGTCTCATAGGTTCCACCACCCACCAGTGGTCCCAAGGAAAAGCCGAGATTCAAGAGACCCCGCTGCATTCCGTAGACGGCCGCCTGAAAATGTACAGACCGTTGACTGCGCGACTTCAAGCGTTCAACACTGGACTGCATCCATTGCGTGCCAGGCTATCGCCGGCAACCTATGACGATGAACCACGGAAGTGCTCGACTATCTGAACGACTTCTCTTCCCTGTGCTCCATGGTCTTCTTTCGAAGAAAAGTTCGCTCGTCTGAACACTGCGAAGATGCTAAACCGTGGGAACGAGGTTTCACGCCGACGCAATGTTGATTTAGCTTAACTTGTCAATTTCAGTATCGCAGTAGACTCTTGGACGATGGAGCCCGCCTGTTGCTTCTCCGGCACAAGGGTGTTGACAAGGCTCGCTTTGCTGGTCACTTCGACCAAAGTGGCAAAGCAGCCAAAGAGAACGGCATAAAGATAAGGAGTCCACCATGCTCTGGACAATGTCATTAGCACCTTTCTATTCCATGCTCGGCTGCTCCACGACTCTCTCTCTCTGCTGCCGAGTGGCCATGACACCAGCTGTGCTGATGGTAAACACAACGCAAGTCAGCTTCGCAGGTAGCAGCTTGCCCATGTACGTTGCCAGGCTTCCCCACAGCAGGCTGGATGCGGAACAAGTCATCATGAACTGCGCTTGCTGCTCCGGGGCAAAACCATATTGGTCATGCAGGAAGAAAGCCTCGGGACCATCACTGACGGCCTCAGTGAGAGATGTGCGAGCGTGTCAGGAGCAACTTAGGAGGGCCGCAGCGGCTGAGGAAGCTGCGAGGGAGAAGCCATCCTTGGCTCCAAGATGCTCCAACCGTGACCCTTCTCCCTTCTCGCACAAAGCACGGAACATTAGGATGCAAGCTGAGTTGCGATGAAACAAGCCAGCATTAGAAGCTTTGTTGGCCCATGCAGAAAGTTAGAACCTCAATCCATGTACTTGCTGAACAACATGGTGCTGAACTGTACTGAGCCCCCTGCTGACAACAGAAATTTTGCGGCGCGGCGAATCAGCTGGTGCTTGCACTGATGGCCGTGCCGCCTGGTACATAACAACAATAGATCTGCACTTTCTTTTGTTTCGCATGAATGTTTGGCACTAAGATGCACCAGGCACAATACGTGCTTCAACTAAGGACGGGATCGCATGTGTGAAGGCAAGTGCGGAGGTATGCTCCTGCCACTCGTGCCCGCCCACTTCTGTGCACGTCTTTGTGCCCATCCGTGCCCCTGCAATGCAAACTTTCGGAGTTGTGCTAGTTTTGCAACTGACGCTCCCATTATTCGGGTTTCCGCAAGCCGAACGTGGCCAGCCTCGGTCGATTTGTTTGGCCAATCATCAACACGGCGTGCAACGCTTCAACCGGAGCACCAAGCTGGAACTTGCGTTTCGTGTGCATAAGCAGGACAAGGAATGTCTTGCAGCTTGCGTGTGCATGCGACAAAAAAACCGATTGTGTGTATACAAAAGAAACGGCTGCCTTGCCTTGACAGTCTTTGGACAAGTGAAGAATCTGACACCTCGGAAGGGTCGCAGCGACAGGCAAACGTTTTGGACAGCTGCCTGTTCGCAATTATTTTGTGCACATGATCCCCCAGGCCTATGATGAAGTTGAGCACGCACAGCCCTGAGATGGCATAGCATAGGTGCTCGAACTCGAAGTGGCTCTCAAATCTTTTCCGCTCGTAGGGTTCCACCATGCCACCTATAGCTGGCCCCAGAAGGCACCCGGCGGCCTGCAGTCTCGCCTGCAAGTTCACCCAGTAGGCGCGGTCGGACTTCCAGGTCAAGTCCGCCATGTACGCCACTTCCGCTGCCATTGTCCCACTTACGAAACCTAGAGCACCTCTGGCCAGCAAGAGTTGGAAAATGGTGCTTGCATTGGCCATCAGCAGATACCTGCGGCTGTAATTCAGAGAGGATCTTGCCAGAGAGCCCAAATTCCCCTACACCCACCCTTGTCTATTTGTTAGTATGGTCAAGAAGGCAAACACATCGCTAGCATGCGCGTCTGCATTTACCAGTGTCCTCGCTTCATATACATGCTCCTGCGCATGCAGCTACACAAGCAATCCTAGACTCACGCGTGCGCAATCGCGAACACCTGCGAAGTCTTAAACAAGTACCTTTGTGCTCAACTGTGCAGATGGACAGCATATAGCGTCAAGGGTAGGAAGACAGGGAAATTCAGAGACAAACAATTTAATTAACAAGGCTTAGTCGAACGACGAATGAGCGGACAGGTAGAGGAACGACAGGAGCACAAAGATGCAGGCTCGATATAGAGATTAGACCACATCTTGGAAAAACGCTTGTTGGCCGTGTCGATGCGTTCCTTCCATAATGGCTGAGGCACACAACTGAAGTAGCAGCCAAGCCCCCTAGCAGAATCGGCCGACGCCCAATGCGATCTGACAGCACTCCCAAGAGCGGTGAGCTCAGCATCTGGGTTGCGGCGTAAGCAGAGGAAATCATTGCGTAGTGAAAAGCGTGGCAGCCCTTTGCCATGGCAAAGTAAGGCAGTGCAGGGGCCAAAATCCACTGTCCACCTTGGTGCACTGCTCAGGTGAGTGCAAACAGGGACTCCCATGCCTTGAACACGCGAACAAGCCCGGCCCCAACTCATCAAAGCTGCAGGCCCAGATAAAGGAAGAGCATATCAGTGCCCCGAGCTCGATTTGAGCTGCTCGATTGTTTCGAGACTGAGGCTTCAGGGCAGGCTTCAGAGGTGTGGCCGGCGCCATGGCCAATGCATTCAGCAAAGCGAAGAAGCGGCTTCTTCGATTTCTTTAGCTTCTGAGTTCTGAGTTCGGCCAGAGAGCTCCTGTCGTTCGAGTTCACTTCGGCCTTCGAGGCCGGCGGTTGCGGGTCAGTAGACTTTGCTCTGGGAACTCTTTTCTCAGGACTCCATAGTGAACCCGGCTCTTTGCTGCATGCTGCGTCGTGCTTATCGATCTGCTGGCTGAAACCTGGTGTCCGTCAAACGCTGCAAAAGCCGTGCGAATCTGCTGCTCCATGTAAACATCGTCGTCTCCAGAACATGTTGCGGCAGTGCAGGCCTGCCGGCGCCTTGACGTGTAGATGGAAGACACCTGAAACTTTCACAAAGCTTTCGTGCTCGAGCCGAAGCACGACTTTGCTCAGGACTGCGCGTAACTTACATGGCAGCGCTTGCGATTGTTTTGTACGACAATCATGAACTTGGAGCAAGCTGGCACCTGTGTATGTGAATCTATACCAGATGGCGCTACTCAAACACTGTGCCCAGGTTGCTTGAATCATGTTGGCACGCTTAATCGCTCTGTGGCGTTCTACAACGATTATCTATCTTATCTGCTAGTGTGTGCACTGTGCTGATCCTGCTCCGCTGCTCAACTGATATGGCAGTTTCCACATGCAAAGAAGCAAAGGCGGGTCAACTCATCTGAAAGAAGCACAAGCGTAGCTACCCACATGACCGTCCATCTGCTTCTACATATCGGCCCTCCCCCGCCCACCCCCAACCGTGTGCATGCAGCCCATTCTTCTTCACCCAGTTCTCGACGGCGGCGACGGATGTGTCTTCAGACGGGCTATGATTGGGCCTTTTCCAGTCGCAGGAATAAGACTAATGCCCATCTGGAACCACATGATATAGGCTTTGCTTGGTGCCAGATTTTGGTGTCCAAGAAGATACAGTCGCCGGCGTCCATGGTGTAGACAAGCTCTTGCTTTGGCTTGCCATCCCACACATGCAGGGCGCCTCCTTCGAAAGGCTCATCCGTAGGAAGAGCCAAGATTACGGAGCCATCCACATTGGCACCATCCTGATCGCAGGATGCTGACAAACAGTACATGACGCTGCAAAGACCAAGACTAGCAGATCATGGCACCAGTACTAGTACCAAACAGCTACAAAGAGTCGTGCTCCAGCTGTCGGATCTTTTGGCCAGCTGGACTTCCGGTGTCACTGGAACAGGCAAACATGAGATGCACGCAGGGAAAGTCTAGATTCTTGCAGGCTTCACGAACTAGTTGATACCAGAAGATGCCAAGCGTCGATGTGCTTCTGCAGCTCATCTTCTCCATGCACTGCGCGATATCTGGTCACGAAGGCATTCATCACTCCAAACTTCTTACTTCCAAGTCTGTAGCCTTTCAACTGACAATACCAGTCCTCAAACATGTTTACACATTCGGACATGACGGAGCCGAGACATCGAAGCATTGGCTCGTGGGGCAGAATCTTCGGCTTCCAGTTCTCCATGACGACCAGGTAGCAAGAAATTCGCCACTGATCTCCGTATCTGGAGTTCCTCCCATAGTCAAGCGGCTGCTGAACGTAGCTAGCCTTGATGTCCGGGAAGAGATTTGCCAAGCGCTCAGGGTCGACTGCAGACTTTTTCAGCTCGTGCGCAAAGGTGCGGCCCCGCTCCGCACCTGAATTTGCCTTCTGAACTGCGTCATCCCTCAAAAGGCTTACGAGTACCTTCGCATCCTGAAGCAATTGGCCGCTTGGTTCAAAGCCACGCTGAGTCAAGTACCTCGCAAAATGCAGCCGATCGTATCCGAGTCATGGGAAGCTATGTATTACGTACCACGCTTCGTTCTGTCGAGACTCTTTGCTAGATTTCGCTGGCTGAAGCTGGTGGACCGCGCATCAGAAACGACCATGCAGACGGCTTTGCTGAGATCTTGCAGCTGGCGGAACAGAGCAGCGATTTCTCTCTCTTCCGCAGCGGCCGACCGCTTCCGCCAAAGAAGTAAAATCCAGGCGAAGCCTGGAGACGCACATGGGAGGAATGTGGGCCCCGAGATTGGTTTGCTGTTCACATCGGATTCTTCGGTCTTTGTTGGCACAAGTCTGCCGTTCTCCGATGCTTGATGGTGCATGTGACATGTAGCTTCAAGCTAAGCCCTTTGATCTGGGGATATTGGGGACCAACAGTGTAGGGGAAGCCCCAGTACACCCATTCACCCACTTTGGCGCCCAACCTGCACGCCTGCTCGCACATTGATTGGCGCCTTGTAAGAGTACTTGGCTGCTGCCGTGATGAGAATTACAGCTAGTGCCTGCGAGACTCGAGCGCGAATAGTTGCCGCTCGTTTAGCTTTATGTGGGAGATACAGTCTCTGCTGAACGTGAACGATGTGGGTCAGGAGGTCAATGAATTCAGCATTCGGCCTGCAGTAAGCGCTGCCGTCGTGACGAGCAGGGGCAAGGGACGAACATGGCTTCGGTGATTAGACATCATTGTGTGAACCGTAGACATGGTCTACGTTTAGAGCCTTGGAATTGACGATCGATCTACCACAAGCAGAAACAAAGCCGCATGATGTCGCATGAACTTGGCACAATGCAACCAAGACTGACGTGTCGTCAGCAGCTGCTTTCCTTGAACCCCTCGGCCTCGGTTCGGTTGTCCTCAAGCGATGGTTTGATATCCGTCTAAAGGCTTCTTGCCAAACATGGCTTGTCAGCGCTTTCGCCTTATCTCTGTTATGAGACCAGCCACATTTACATTGGCAGCCACACGGGAATGCCTCTGATCGTTATTGAGTCTGCTGTCCATGTCTTCCTGCATCATTGGACCTCGGACATGTCTGGGGATTGGTGACCTCTGGCATCAAACTGCAGCCAAGTATTCCGAGCTTCAGTAGTTATCATGTCTTCAAACCATTGCAACATTTGCAACTATCCAAACGTAAGGCTTGACTTTGGGGGCAAGCAGGCCTCGATGGGCTGTGTGAAAACAGGTGAGCCCAGCGCCAAATTGTCGAGTACGTGAATGTGCCAAAAGGGACCTGCAAAGGCCTCCGACGGCGAAAACACGTGCCTCACGGGCAAAGGTGGTGAACACGTTGATCAAAGTTGGCCAAGGCTGCTGACGAGGTTGCATGATCCTCCAAAAGTGCTTATCGAGCGCGCTCCTGCTGCAGGCGTGCGATACCCGTTGCCGAAACGACGCAGGCCGAAATCTCCCGATCATCCGGACAACGATTGAGAAAGGGAGCTGGATCAAAGGAACCTCTGTGCGGTACAAGACGGCAGCGTTCCGTCGAAGCTCTAGCATTATAATATGCAGGTCTAGTTACTAGTTCTACCACTCTCATCTGCTCCCCAGCTCCTCCCTTTTTGGATCCCTCTTTGCTCCGGCCATGAGCTTCCACCGCGGATTGTGCAGCGGCTTTGGCTGCAGATGCGAGCAGGGATTCCACGACGCACCAAGCACGTGCTCAGCACCTGCTCGTCGCCCCGGTCGGTCGTCGGTGAGATCCGAAATCCTCCTGCTGCATCCTCCTCGGAATCCCGCTATTTCAACGACGGTGGCAGCACTCCCACCGCTTGTACCGGAAGAGAAAGATTCCCCGCTTCGGTGCTGAGCACAAGCTGATCGACTTGATCATCCAAAGACTTCGCTGTGAAGTGCACCTCGCTCTGTCTCAGAGGAGAAAAGGAGGCCCTTAATGGGGACCCCTACCCTATAATGGACTATATATGGGTATATAATGGCTATATTAAGGGTATATGTATATAGTAGCTATATTACGGGTATATGTATATAATAGCTATGTTAAGGGTATTATACCTAGGGGTCCTTTTTGTGGGTCCCTCCTTTTACCCTTGGACTGTCTCAAGACGTAGGGGACTAGCAAGATATTCAATTTTGCTCTTTGTTGTGGCAAGGTTGGAGATCATTGCAAGCACGTGCATGACAGTGCACGGCAAGACTACATCGTTTCTTTGCTGTCGTTCGTTTGATGTAAGTCTAGCTTCAGACAGAAGCGAATGCACGGCAAAAGATGCTGCCCACATCAGCAAGCAAACAACAACGCACAGCAGAAATGAATGCATCTATCGTATTTACTTATTACGTCAGAACATAAAACTGAGCCGGCGGAGAACGGGAAGCGCACAATAAGGCGCAGAAGAGCAAGAGACACCACGACAGTATTCTAGGGGTTTGGGACGCTTCATAGGCCGATGCGCCCATCGGCAGTCGTAGTGAGGGGTCCCCAACGAAAGTTGGTGCAAACTTGGGGTGGGGGCCCCCTGCAGCACTTGGTTTGCCGTTCAATTTCTGGTCAGAGCCCTTGCCAGGAAAGTGCACTGTCTCCCAACTGCGGGACCCTCTCGCGGGACCCTCTCCTGAATCACACTGCGAACCAATTGCCATTCGGCCGTGCGGTGCCTGCCCCTCCACTGCAATCCTCCCATCTCCCCGAAGTCAATAGTTCCGGAGCTCGTTTTATCGCAGTTGCATTTAGTCTTGCTGTCGCTCGTATTGTGTAGTTTGTGTGCCTTTTTGGGACTTGTCTGCCCTGGGCAAGTATTCCCCTACGAGGGAGGGTCTTTTAACTTGCAATCTGGACTGCTGTTGGAAGGTCGATGTGGGGCATCAATACACGTTGGGGATTGCTTTACGGTTGTGCTGCATCTCATGCTCTTATGCTGCTGCCGGGTGGCGACCAGATAAGCAGACAAATTTGGTGGAATGCTTCCAGATGCTGTTCCAGGCAGTCGCCTAGTAGCTGCATCGAATCGGATCGGGTCGCTGGAGAACGCCCGGTTGGTGCAGGGCATCACTCCTTGTCTGACATGCAGGGAACCCCGATGACGTGTGATAACGCATGGAGCTCTAGATTCCAGAACTCAAGCTGACTTCGTCCAGGATTCGTGGGCACAACGCTTTGCCCGACCTGATCACAGCAGCGCTTCAACGAAGTCCAAGCCAGGGGCCTGGAGGCGCAGACATGTTGCGGATCTCGACCCTCACGTCATAGGTTTGTCCGACTCGGCAGCCTCTGAAAGAGCAGGTTCGACCAAAACACCAAGCACCGACACACACTGCCTTGAAAGACTGCAGCTTCCGGAATCAGCTGGAGGGGCGCCTTGGCATCAAGTTTGTGGGCGCGGTTGCAAGTCGTCTTGCCCAAGCTCAGGTCCTTGCAGGCCTCGCGCCTTTGGTTTTGACGCCGATCTGCTGACCCGGCCCTGGCCAAAAACCGTCTTGTCATGTCTTGCCCTGAATCCTCAGAACCACTCAACTTGGAGGAGACCTGTCTGAACAGGTTGCTCGGATGGATATCCTGCTTGCTGGAGATCGTCAGGGCCTTCCTGATACATTCATGGAAAATGCAGCTTTGCATCTTCTTTGCACGAGGCTCTGTCGATTGTTTGGAAGCAATTCGGAGCTTCCCACCTGCTTCTCTGCCTCGATGTGGGCAACCAGCCCCGCAGCACATAGTCTTTTGGAGTCCAGCTGCTTGTCCCGAAGATTTTGGTGCACCTCGTTTGACATTTCCTCTTGGCGACTTGAGCTCTCAACCGATTCATCTGACGATGCTTGCAACATGCAGTAGCATCCGGTCCCGCAAATGCAGCCCAGCGACAGCCTCCAGCTGGAAGCTGTCTTCAGCTAGCTTCGCCTAAGGTGCCCCTCAGGGTGTATCAGCATACACATCAGCTTTCGAGACAGGCAAGTCAAGTGGCAACAACTGCAGCTATTTGTGCATCCTCATCCTCGCCATCCTCACCACCTGGCTACAAGGCCAGCATCCCACAGAAAGCTCGCAAAAGGCTTGAAGAACGTAACATGGACGTGATGGTGTTTAAGGCCCTGGCTGGTCGCAGTTCTCACGCATGGCTCCAGCTGGCCGAATGCATCCTTATCAGTGTCACTGTAAGATCACTGTGCTATGCCGCTGTGCTGTGCTGCCCCTGGCCTCGAGCAGGCTGCGAACGCACTGACTTCGAGCCATTGGGCTGCGAAGGCCCGAAACGAGGAGTGAAGGCACTTGGTGCTAGGCACAAACCAACGCATTCCACAACCTTTCCTGTCATTTTGCAGCCGCTTGTGTTGCTCGAAGCTCCGTGGAGTCTCCAAGGCCGGACCGACCGGCGGTCCTGTTGCTCTTGGTGTAGCTGCTGCATCGCGTTCAAGGCGAGGGAATTCGAGACATCGTGTTCTTTGTCGTTCTTTAGCGCTGAGCTTCTCGTCTCCTTGGCCGGCACTCCCAAGGCCCCCTGGAGCCATCGCCATCTCAGACTCCAAGACCTCAAAGCCGGTCGTAGATCCTCTGTCGAACGGCATCAGGATGCGACCGTCCACAAGAAGAACTGTTGAGCAGGGTTCCAAGACACGGCGGCCGTCATGACCCTTTCATTTTGCAGCTTGGAAAGCTGCTGTCGGTCGTCTGGCTTGGGCTGATAGCTAATGACCTTAGCTATGCGTGCAAGACATTAAGACAAGCAGATTTGTTGCCGGTCTCCCGCAGTTCCTAACTCCAAGCCGCAGACGGTCGAGCCTGGAGGCATTGCTGAAACCTTGCATTCAGCTTTGGACGCGGCGATGAATTCAGATCTAATCCAATGTCCGAGTCAAGTAGCATCGACCAAGCCAAACAAACATGACTGCCTGCAACCGGGATGCCGCCCTGAGAAGCATGTTTTCACGTACCTCTGGCGGCCACAGCGCATCATTTAGCCACAGCACCCCCGTGGTCGACAAGTCTGCTTTCGTGGCATCTCCGCACACAAAGCCGATGTCCACAGACTCCACAACTCTCGAAAGGTCAGCTGCCAGGCTTTTCGAATCAGCTACCAAACACTGCAACAGCTCATATCCGGTACAGTTGAAGCCCAGAGCTGTAGCTGCAAAAAGGCATTGGTAACCAATTGCGCTTCCTCCCACCGTGTATTGTAGGCCAGATGCAATGTAGCCTGGTATGGCGTGGCTCAACGTGCTGTCAGCCATGACTGACAGCCAAGTCTCAAACCATGTTGTGCCATAAGCACAGGCCACACTTCCGGACCCAAGCTCAAGGCATTCATTCCAGCGTCGCAAGGCCCACTCTGTCGAATTCTCCAAGCTCCGCACTCCTTCACTAGAAACGCTCAAAATATCTGCTAGGGTCTTTATCCCAAGCCGAAGTACGAAGACCAAGACTGACCCTCAACTCCATCACCGCCATTCACAGCCCGTAACGTGCTACTTGTATCCCACTCCTCGAAGGACCGGAATCAATTGGTGCAAGCCCTCTGGTGGATTCTTCGTCACGGCACTTGCAAGCTTTCTGATAACGCTCGCCCCTGCTTCACTGTTTGAGTCCAGAGCTGCAGCCACATACCTTGAGGCAAATTCCTCTTCTTGCAGCAGCCTGCTCTGCAGGAGTCTGTTGCTGTCCAGCTGTGTCATAGACAGCCGGAAGGGCCAAATTCCCTTCGCCGTGGCCAACTCGACTCGACGGGCCGCCAAGGCCTTTGCCTCTTCAACTTTGCCTCTCAGACTGAGCACGCCGCTGAGGCTATAGTAGGCTCCGTCATAGTCTGGATCCAGTTTCAAAGCTGCCCAGAAACTGCTTTCCGCCTCTTCCCAGCTTTGCTGAAGCATTTGAACTATACCCAAGTTTCCGTAGGCTGCAGCATGTTCTGGGTCCAAGTCTATAGCTTGCTGGTAGCTTGCAGCAGCACTTGTGAGGTCGCCACTCAGCTTGTGAACAACTCCAAGCTGAGTGCATATTCCTGCATCTGCTGGGCTCAGAGCCAATGCAGTCTCCAGCGATCCCCTGGCATCGGTAAGCTTTCCAAGTTGTCGCTGCACGATTCCGAGCTTCGTGTGCGCAGATTCCAGGCGCGGGTCCAGAGCCAAAGCGTTGCGATAGCCGATCTCTGCTTGCAACAGGTTGCCGTCTTGAGCCATCATCTCAGCCAGCTCCATGTGGAGGAGTTTGTCCGTAGGGTCAATTTCGAGCAGGCTCTGCAGACCTTCCGCAGCTTCAGTGAAGTCTGCATGCTTGCGTAGAAACTTGGCAAAGTATCGTCGAACTGGAATGTGCTCTGGAGCCAAGCGAACAGCTTTCAAGTATTCTGCTTTTGCTCCGGACCAGTTGCCACGTGCCTCTTCCACTAAACCCAGACTGAACTGGGCAGGGGCATTTTTGGGTGTGATAGCAAGTGCGCTTCGGAAATGGTCGGCGGCTTCCTCGAAACGCTGCCTTTGCTGCAACAAGTTGGCCAACCGGAGGTGTGGCTTCGCCTTTGCTGCATCCAAGGACAACGCTGCTCGAAAGACCTCCTCGGCCTCCTGAAAGCTCTTCGAGTCCTGAGTGCTCTCGCCTTGGCGCTGTAAGGCCTCGCCAAGGCTCAGCGTAGAAGCGAGGTGGCCGGGGTTCAGACGAACAGCTTCTCGATAGCTTGTAATCGCAGATTCCAGTTGCCCTTCCCGTTCCAAGACGATACCCAGGCTGTAATGGGCTGCCGACATCTTTGGATCCAGCTCGATCGCTCGGCGGTAGCTATCGACTGCCTGGCCGAGGTCTTCGAGCTGCTCGCATGCCAAGCCCAAGCTGAAGTGATTGGCTGCAGTCTGCGGGGCCAACCTTGGGGTCAAGACTTCTCAAATGTCAAGAGAGGAGCGCAGAAGTGCTCTGCGCTTCGCAGCACAGACCTGCTCGGCCCTTCCCCCGCCTGGTTGCTTCCTGGTAGTGGTACTTCGCACCGTCCAGGTCTGACAGCTTCTCCAGCACCTTCCCTCGTGCACGGAAGGCGTCAGCATAATCCGGATGCGCGACAATGGCCTTCTGAAAGCTGTCGGAGGCACCTGCATCTCCCAGTCTGAGAGTAGTCTCGCAGTCATGTTTGCCCCCTATATACTTGTAACATCTTGTAACTGTGCCAGGTACTGCAAAGGTGGGGAATGTGAAGGTTCAAAGCCTGCAAGTCACGAACCACAGAGTACTGTGCCGGCTCTTCGAAGAGCCGAAGCAAAGAGCAGGGCTGCTCCTTCATGACATGGACGTAACGGAACTGCCTTGTAAGTCACCGCTCTTGTCCAAATGCTGGCCGCGAAGGAAGTGAGTTTCGGCAGCCGGTGGTGGCAAGTTCTGGGAAGGCTGAAGCAGAACAGCCAGCAGAGCTATCGAAGCTCCCGGCATGGCTGATTGCGTTCGCAGGGCGCTGAGTCGCAAGTGGAACAGAACATTGTTTGTTTGAATTTGCAAGCCTTTGCGCAATGCAAACTTCGGAATTTCTTGTTCTTGCTGCTGTGGCTTACTTAGATGCTGGAGCTCCGTTTGCTTTGGCTCGTCCCAAGGACTGAACGAATGCACAATGACTGACAAGACGCTGGGACAAACAAGGCATGTCCTGCAATGTGCAAAGCTTTTTGCCAGCAAGCACGGTTGCCATTCATGGCAACCAGCCTAATGCCTCCGGCATAGGCACTCTCGTTGTAGAGGTGCTCTACCTATACGAAAAATATACGGCTAGGTGGCTGTCAGTCTGCACGACTTGTAACAGCAGAAAGTGAAACTGCAACATCTTTGATGTTGGAATGCTCGGTACAAGCAGTCGAACCAGTACATCATAAATTGGCGAGGGTGTGCCAAGGGTTTCTTAAGCTGTGCCGCTTCGAGGGACGTGCTTGTAGCAAGCATACCGGGCACATTGGCTCAGTGAATGCGTCTCAAACCTAAATCTCTGCCAGCCTGTGCAGTATGACAGCGAGACTCTGTCGAGCACACAAAACTTGAGCCTGCACATCTGCGTGCAGCCCGGGTGCAGATTTTCCAAGCAGATCGGTGAAGTTATCCATTTTTCTATGCAGGTCCTGCTGGTGACAAGTGATTCTGACCACACTCGTCATCTGACTCTTCTTTTGCCTCCACGGAATGTTGGAGGCGTGCGATAGCCTCAGTTTCATTCTGGTCGCAGCATGTGGCTCAAGTCTTTGCTCGTGCCACAGTCAGCATTGAGCAAAGGCGCTTCGCCATGATGCACGGAACTTTGCATCAGCTTGCTGATCTGATCTCCGCCACCTTTTCAGCCGAGAATCCATCACAGGACTTCGTCATGGGAAAAATTCTGGGCTTCGTGCCGTCAGCGTTGCGATCCTAGCATGGGAGATCAAGCTTCCAAGCTTCTATGATCTTCTTGTAGTCTCAGCAGACACAAGGAGCACACATGAATCCGTAGTAGTCCTTGTGGTGCATCAGCGACTGGCACACCTCTTCCACAGCTTGCCATTGCCTCGAGCTGCAAGCACTCGCTACGGCCTATTAGCGGCTCCCTAGAGGTGGAGCCTGCCTCTGGCTTTGTGTTCTGGTTTCGAGGTGCAGCGCTTCCAACCTTTTCGGAACTTCCAGTCTCAAGCACCGAAAAATGCAAATTCCGACTCAGCCAGTGCTCACGCTACAGTGCCTCATAGTCGACTTTTCTGTTACGGGATTTCCAACCTTGGCATCTCTTCTGAACTGCAGCAGCTTCCGAGAACGTTCTACGAAGCCCAGGCAGACAGATGGATTTGGCCAGGGCCCAGGCGTCGAGCAAACACTCAACAAACTCCTCCTTAGAATGGGCAGTGCTATGTCATCTATGCCGCCTCGCAATTCGACATGCATGCATGTGATCTGTCAGGCCCAGTGTCCATGTGAATAACTTCCTGATTGATTGAAAGCGTCTTCATGACCTGCTGATGTGGGCATGCGGGGCTTCGCTGCAAGACGAGCACTTGTTGTCTTGCCTTGCCTGCTTGACTCGCTGTAATTGTCAGCTTATGTCTAAAAAAGATTGTGCAAGCAGCGCCTCCTGCACATGCCGAACTGGAACACGACACATTTTGGCTGTCCTCAACTTTGCACAGACTGAACCTGTGCCAACCCTTGCCTGTGCCGCGTCCTCAACTTGTAGAACAACACCAATGAGTGTCTACTGTGTCGGCACAGGCTGCATCCAAGTATCTCGTAAGCATTGTCAGGGATGGACAGGAAGTGCATCAAGTCCTTCTCGCGGACAATCCCATCCTGGGCTGCAACGAAGACAGCCCTGTGAATGTTGCACTCGGCATCTGGGTGACCGACTCCTCTAGTGTTAATTTCCTTGAAGAGCTCCTTCAAGTCCTGAATGTGGCGTTTCCTGAGTCTCAAGCAACCTTTTTCGTACCAATGTTGTGCGTGGCGCTGCTGTCTCGGATTAGACCCTCTGGTGCAGTACAGAAAACACAACTGTCAAGCAAACGGGCACTTGTGTCTGCAAGCTTCCGATCTTCTTCTTCTGACATGAGCTGGATCTCCTTCAGGGCAGGTCTGACGTAAATAAACGCGTATACATACTGACGAACTAACACACGCACACACAAACACATTATGTGTACAAGTATGTGTGTTGTATGTATGTATGCATGTATGTATGTCCTTGACGTTGTGTATGTATGTATGCATGCACGCATTGATGGATGGATGAATGGCTGGATGGATGGCACGTCGAAGTGGAGGCAGGCCTTCTCTTGACTGGAGGTCGTGGAGATCATGTTCTCGCTGACCTCATGCACAGCCCAACACTGAGATGCGCTCTGCTGCAATGATGGGGTCACGGTGACGATGGGGTACATATTCTGGGGACGTGAAGGGCCTCCCTGTTTGGTCTTTTGCCACTGAGAGGCAACTGCGGTCAATATGGAGAGCAGTGTCCACGAGCTGGTCACCATGAAGAAGACAAAGGCAAACTTGAAGGTCGGAATGCTTTCCATGATGTCTTGGAGAAACGAGGCAGCGGCAAGAGACCAACCCAACATCAATGTCTCAGCAGCCTCCCTGGTGCAAGTCCAAGGCACGGTCCAGCGCAGCAGACTCCGAATCAGATTGCGCCCCACTCATCACCCGAAACAGGGTGAACATGCTGTCTGGGACCTTGTTGCCAGCGATCGAGCTATGCTCATGCTTTCGGAGCATTCGCGCAGAGTGATTTCTCCTGGCTCTGAGGGGTCCGCAGTACGGAAGGGCGTAGTCAGCTCTTTCAATGACTCTGCATCCTCCTGACAATCGCTTCGGTACTTGTTCGCGGAGCCACCTACAATGCTCCGATGGGTATCGGACATACTACAAAAGTTCTGCCTCGCTCTTTTGCATCGCAAACGCTGCATGCATGCGGCCGCCACTGTGAAGCTGAGGGTTTGCGGGTGCAGGCCGAATCAAGGGAACAGAGGCAGAGACCAGGAGGGTCGAATCAGAGACAGGGCAGTCGAATCGGAGACCAACAGGGACGAATCAGGCGACCAGATTCAGAGACCAGCTGACCGGAATTTTGCATGCTCACGAAATTCCACATGTTCTCTTCCCCATACAATGTATACACGGAGTATTTGCAAACAACGTCGTAAAACGTCAAGGGCTTGGGTGCGTTGCTAAGACTTTGCAAGCCAGCCGCGTCATCTGCGGGAAAGATCATCTTGTGACCGATGAGTCTCGTCGTCAGTATACCCATGGCATACAGCGTAACCTTAGTCCACGCATAAAGGAAACGCCCAAAGCTAAGCAAACCGCCTGTGCCCAAACAACATCTCAGTGCCGAGAGGTGACCACCGTGAGGACCAGCACCCACACGACCCCTTGCACTGCGGCTGTGACCTCACAGAGACACCACCGAGCGACAACCGATCTGTAAAGTCCAGCGCTGAGGCCGCAACACTGACCACCAAGATGTACAGTGGCCGCACAGACTTCACTAACCTTGCATGATATTTGCTGTCAAGCTGCAGTGCTCAAAACGGCATTGGTTCTAAGATGTTCTAAGCATCGGAGACCTGCTGTCAAGGGGCTTTGCCAATCGCAGAATTCGCAGTAGTCGCAGCAGCCGCATCCTCAGTGCATCTACAGTCTCTGCAGTATTCCACCGTGATCTGTGCCCGTTAAGAAAGACTTCTTCGGAGCCCATGGAATGAGCAGCTGACAGCATCATCAGCTGGCCGACGTTGACGCCGTGTGCACGTTTGCTGCTCTGCCGCTCGCCTCGCAACATGTCTTTGGTCACGACCAGCAGGCAGGTGCAGATGCAAGGCCGCAAGGCTTGAGGACATGCCTTGACCTCCTTGGAACGATTTCCTGCGCAGTGCCCCGGGTCCCGCATCAGCAGTCGATGGTACAATGTGCACGACAGCATCAGCTGTGTGTGCCTGGCGACATTGACCAATGGCACCAGCCACGAATCGCCCTGAGACGAGCTCTGATACAGGGCTCAAACACTTGTACACGCTATGAGTGCATGCGGAGTTTGGCAGAAGTCGATGTGAATCCTGCTCAAGTTTTTGAGGCTGTGGGAAAGCAAAGTTAGACACGTGCGACCAAGGCACAGCTGAACTGACCACGATTGCCAAGTCCAGCAAATTCCAGATCTGGGGCAAGACAGCGTTTGTCAGCGCGAGCTGCGAGCAGCATGCAGCTACCGGCTACCGGGTGCCAACAAAGACTTCAGAAGCTTAATGCAGCCGAGTCACAAGATCTGGGCTCTCGCAGGAAAAGAAATCACAACCCAACCGCTTCATTCGCACAACCAGCTCAAAGACGTAAATACCTTACGTGCATGCCGCACAGCACAGCCTACACGCTCCTCTGGTTTGCGCGCTTGGAGAAGAAACAGTCTCTCTGTGGATTCAGCACTCACGGTTCGCAGGACATCGTGAAGGACGCCTCTTTCTTTGCTCGAGGTGTTACTTCCTGGATTTTGTGTAATTGTATGTGTCTGCCCTTCGGACGATCGGTTACTTGCGGCTTGGGCTCAGAATCCTGCGCTCGCAAACAGTCAAACCCTTTAGTTACCCTGCTGCTTGAGTTCTTAGGTTTTTGTGATGTTTTTGTGTATATACAATATGAAGACGGTGTATAATTGCATCTGGCGCCAGATGCCGAACCGCCGCCAGTCTGATGCAAGATGTTGGTGTTTGGGAAGGATGAAAACAGTTCGGCAAGGCTTGCCGAACCAGAACGCCGGAGCAAACAGAACAGCGGCATGCTTACCTGATGGGGAGATCTACGTTTTGAAGGTGAGGCTTTGAGAGGAAAATACATGAAAGATTGTGAAATAAGAGCAGGGGCTCGTGAGAGAGGACTCACTGCGGAGGCAGTGCAGATGTTGGAGCTTGGGTAGCACGGGGCATTTGCCGGTGCCGCCAGGGTGCAAAGGAGGAAGTTCTCAATTACCGCCCAACCACCCCACTCGTAGTCAGTCTCGAAGCCCATCAGCAGGGCATTGAATGCTATCACACCGCCTGAACAAAAGCTAAGAATCTCAAGCCTCATTGGAAGTTCCTGCATGGCTTCACCAAGGCTCTGGCCAATGAAGGACTGGAAGGTAGGCTGTTCGGTCCAGGACAGATCCCACTCCAGCCTTGGGGAAGGTGAGACGGCAGTCAAAAGAACAGTGCCTTTTACCTTGGAAGACGAGGCCAGGACACAAACCCAACCACCTTAAATACGCGAGTTAGTCGCAGCAGTCGGATGACGCCCAGGAGATTGGACCATGAAGCCGTGTCAACCTCGGCGAGCCAGGGTCGATGCTTGGGTGCGATGACGAACCGACTTGCCAAATCCTTGAGACCAGATGCGGGCAGAATGGGTGACAGCCACTGGTCCAGAACCTGACTGAGAAAGCTCACACTGCACACTCTGCAGCTTGTCGAGCCAAGTCCCGAACACCGGCTCCCACCACGATGAGGTCCAGGAGGCTCCACAGCAGCAGATGCCGGGGACCACACAGAAGGCGGCATCTGCGAGGTCAACAGGTGTAAGCTGTAAGACCCAAAGATGGAGAACCCGCAAGTCTTGGACCCAGGCTTCCACAAACCTACTCGGCAGAGAAGCTCCAAGACGTAGAAGAGCAGAGTTGCCTGGTCCAGCCAGTACCTAGGGAAGACTCGACTGGACACCATTTTCCATGTGCAAGAAGGAACAGCCAAGATGCAGCTTCTTGACCAAGTCCTGCGATCATACTCCGGCTCTGGTCAAGCGCTAGACCCTACGGCGCTACGGAAGCGATGCACAAAAAAACTCATGCGTCACGTCACGTCCTCCGAGTCTGCTTCCAGGACAATGCTCACCGTATTGCAGCAGATGACCGAAGCTGCAAGCAGATGGAACCACCAGGACTCCACAAAGCAGAACATTGACCTGGTTCAGCGCATGCACCCGTCGCGGAATCGAACTGCAAATAACACAACGTTGGGACAAATGCAAGAAAGAAGCTCTCTATCAGATGGCGACATGACTTCAACCTCATCGGGGCTGTCAATGCGCAACAATTCCTCGCTGATGCCATGAGCCAAGCTGATATCTCCTTGGCTGAGGCAGTGCAAGTGACAGCAGTGTTTCACTGTTGACAATGGGCCAATGGGCTCTTTTTGCAGGTGCGGCGCTCTTTGTCTTGCAAGGCGGTGTGGCCTCGTCACTCGGCACAAAATACTCCTCGTGCAATGGCACCTTTTGGTAACCTCAGACAGTCTTCCTGAAGCTTGCTTCTGTCAAACTTGTGCCCACTCTGCATGCAGTGGCTCTGCTCCAACTCGACTGAGGATCCTGCCGTTCGAAAGCGGTGCTGGCACCATGGCCGTGGCAGCGTGCCTGAAGCATGACCTTCACATGCTTGAGCCGACTGCAGAATCTTCGTCGAATTTGTTGCCAGCACGGCCGCAGAGGGAGGCGGCGCGTCTTACTTTCTCTCATGTGGGCAGCGTATGATCCTGGGATCTCTTCAAACTGAGCACTGAAATCTGCAGAATCCTGCAGATCTACACGTTTTGCAACTTTGTAGAGATGGTAGGGTCTGAGCGGGCGCGCGCTGAAGTCTTCTCTGCTCTTTGGCAGGGCAGATCCATGGGCTCGTAAACACAAAAGGCAAACACTGTCAGGTACTTTTTCCGGTCAGTCTGAATTTTTTTTCAGTCTGATCTAACATGATCCAACCATGGCTCTGCACATCTACTGCTGTTAGCGTGTCTTTGCATGAGCCATCAATCGAATGATCCTCGCCGTTGTCTTTGCAAAGGCCATCCTCGTGCCAAGCGTGCGGCGCGCGACCCCATCGTCATTAGTGTCTTGCTGGCGGATCTGAGGAGCGAGCCATTGCTCCATGGATATAGACAGGTCTGCTGACGTCATTACCGTATCGAAGATTCTCTCCATCCGGTCCTGGACCGTGTGATCTAGCGAGTGTTTTAGTGGCTCAGCAAAAGCGAAACGCGTGCGTAGACGCATGAACACATACATATGCATAATCAGCACCACTTAATTGATAGATTTGTGTAGTTTACAATTACACACACACATAGATAGTCATATCCGCATGTGCACATCTGAGTTTTGCCAGATGTCTTGAAGCTTCTGCACGGATGCCCATGACACGGAAACATCAGAACAGCACAGGTACTGGTGCAGCCTGCCTCACGGATATGTGCATCTGGGAGCTTCGCCACCAATTCTAGCAGGCACGTCCGGCAGTCCTTGCCAAGTCAAGCTTCATTGCGCCAGGATCTCGACATGAGACAATCAGAAACTCCTCCGATGTCATAGACTCACCATCATTGGAGACGTTCATGAACAGTGTCCTTGGGTGTAGCAGCATAGCACGAAACTTTCTGCAACGTGCGGCTGCCGCTGAGCGGCAATGTGTCAGAATCACTCACTGGATGTTCCCGCAATCTTGGCTAGAACGACATGTGCACACGCACGTGTCCAAAAGCACATCAAGTCAACAGAGGTGAACAGCATTTGCACCGAGGCTGTGACAGAGCAATAAAGCCCGGGATGTCTATGCAAAAGTCCTCCCTTGCAGATGCAATCTTCAGCAGCTCGGTGTCCAAGTCCTGTTCACCGATACCGCTGTTCACCAAGATGAAGCTTCTCAGCTGATCGTGGTCCTGAGGCTGCGAAAAGCTTTAGCGATTCCTGTGCGGTATCCAACATGCCGGCGGCGAAGTTGAGTTCCAGGCAGGTTGTAGCACTGTCCGACCATCAGACAGACTTTTGAAAGCTGCAGTGAAGGCTGCCTAAATCAGCGCGCAAATTGAAAGCTTAAATCTTTTACCGGCTGCTGGAGTCCGGCCTCTTCAGCACCCTCCAGGTCAAGCAGCATTGCCTTGAGGAGCACATGACTTCGCATGTATGGAAAGGTGAGACGCCCTGTGCTACACGAAACCCATTTGCACACCAGCATCGGCTTTCCTAGGCTGTTGTGACAGCTTGCACTGTGCCTCGAAGTTGATGGCGCCGGATGCGCCTGCGCACTACCCGAAGGCAAGCGAGCAAACTCTAAGCCGTTCCCGTCCCAAGGACGACGTTCTCCCTCTGCTCAAGAAAATGCGGGCTTGGGATCGGGATCTGCGCACCTTCAGCTCTCGCCTTCGCCTTCGGCTTGGTGCTCTCCGCTGGCCGGGGGGGAGCTGTCGCAGCCGGCGTGGGTGCGCTTGCCGCGCTCGGCGACGAGGCCGGCTTCGGCTTTGTCTTGGGCGTCTCTGCAGGCGCAGGGAGAGCAGGAGCAGGAGCAGGAGCCTGGCAGTTCTCGCACAGCTTCCCTAAACAAAGACCGGGCGATTGGGGATTCCCGTGAGCGGCGAAGCGTATCGGGCGCCTTTTCCGCTGATGGCGGTTCCTCGGAGGCCTGAGGGTGCTCAGGACTGAGGACTCCGTTGCTCAAAACTTGTCCTTTCCGGGCTGCGCAACTACGACAAACCACTTACGGCGACAGTATCCTACAGTCGAGTTTGCAAAGGCTGCGCGATGATTGATCCAGCAAAAAAGAGGCACCTGATTGTTGTTTGCAATGATATTCAAGTTGCAGCTTGTGCTTGCATCAGATAAGACACCTTCTTTGCAAACAACATCAGTTGTACCAGTGCTTGCTTCAAAAACGAGAGGTTGTCAGAGTGAAGATCCGGGCTCTGCGGCCGAAGGCTTAGCTGAATCTCCAAAAGTTTATGTTTCGCTTTGTCTGGTTGCCTCTCTGTGTGTGTGAAAGGGTCGCAAATTCATGCCAATACAGAACCATGCTCCCGGCGATCTGTATTGGCGTCGCATGTTTTCTGGTTCCAGGTCTTGAGGCATGGATGTGGTTGTGTCCCTTATGTTTCTGTGTGCAGGTAGGAACTTGTTTTGTACGCAAGCAGGCACGCAGCCATGATGAAGCAAGTAAGTACACAATCGACAGGTCACATCATGCTCCTTGCCTGGTACGGCTCCGGGTCCGGCGGGGGCGGCGGCGGCGGTACGAAGAAGCCTTCCTCTTCCTACAGTGCACTCACGTTGCTCGTCAGCCTACGTGCTGTTTGCTATTCGGCCTCAGCACTCATCCATGGATTCACATTGTAGACCTGCTAGGGGAGTGCGGCGAATGTAAAAGCTTTACAGCGGGCACTCGGCTCTCGGAGGACCCGAGCTTTGCCTGCTTCTTTTTATCTGCGCGGCAATGGCTCGAGGGTTTTCGGCAGCGGCGCTACTCGGTCTCGGCCAAGTGCCCGTGCATGCGCACACGTGCGAATTGTTGGTAGCTCTGGTTCAGGACTGTTCAAGGTGAGCCGAGCCTGCAAACTGTCACATGACATGCCTAGGATTTGAAAAGATGGATACACTACCTGGGCGATGTCAATGCTTTCAGAGGGTCAGAACACGTCCAGATCTCCAACCCCAGCTGCAGATGTTGATCAGTCTGTTTCAACGGTCACAGCTGGGGTAATATCTGTCATGATGTATGCAGGAAGCATGTCAAAGTCGCCTGCCTTTTGAGCAGATTTTGAAAGCTTTGGGAACCTGGCATACAGCTTGTCGCGCACAAACTTGGCTTTGAGCTCCACGAGCTGAGCATCGTTCATAGACTCTGCTTCTTCTGCCGCAACCTTGCAGACAAGCGCCATCTCCAACGGCTTGAGAATCCTGTTTGCGTGTACTCCTTCCTGCAAAGTGTCGGCAAGGACACAATCGCATGCCTCAAGCAGCATGATGCCGAAAGGGCTCATCGTGCCTGTTGCCATGCCGTAAATGGGTTGCTGCAGCTCCAACATGAGGCGAACCACTCGGATCCAACGTTCGGCGATCACCTCTGGAACCTGTACTGACTGTACATGTGGATTGGATGACCCTGCAACGCACAAGAAGATCATTGGCACATGGAAGCCCGACTTCTGTATCTGCATGAGCTTCTCCTCAATACCTTGCAGAGTTTCCTCGCCAGCTCGCAGGTCAACCATAATGGTTGCCGGCACTCGCGTAGAATTCTCCATGACTGTCTGCCTATCTACGACCGTGTCTTTTGGGCCGCAATGCTATGTCGTGCTTTACTTGCCAAGCTGATGCCGTGACGCAAGCACATGTGCGCTCTGTCATGCTGTCTGTGACCACGTCATGTGAAATCGCAGCCTGTCCGGGCCTGATTCGACTTGGTGGAAGTTGGAGGCGGCGGCGTCAACACGGTTTTCGGAAACTCCTTGGTGACCAAATTCGCCACGGGGTCCACCTCAGGCTCCCGAACCGCACTCTTATCTCCTCGGCTTCCTTCTGATGGCTGGTCGAGGTCGCGACTGTCCTCGGAGTCTGGGCAGGCTCTCGATCTGGTTCCGAGCCCACCTGGAGTCGGAAAACATCAAACCCCAAATTCCAATACTTGCGGTGATGCTGGGACACCACTTGTGGCAATGACTGAGGCCCCAGCAAAGCAGTTACACTCGTCGCCTCGGCAGAAGGGGCGCTGCACATCAATGTCCTTTTCAAAACACTCTTGCCGGGAGGCATGGCCAGGTTTAGGAGGAGCACAGGCTGCGAAACGGCAAAATACACTCTCATGAGCCCCAGGCCGAATCTTGTGATCTCTTGTCCCATGGTTCTTTCGCGACGCCAAATGACTCTTTAATTGCTTTTTGTTTGTGTTTTTAGCTTTCTGGCAAGCTGTTGCTTTACTCTGCCAGTTCTGGAGCATCTGTAAGCGTACATTTTTGGGAATTCTTGCTGCAGATCACACCGAACACGAGCACTGAATGGCCCAATCTCGAGTCGGATGGGAATCGAAATCTAGCGCACTCTTCTCGTCTGCAGAGTCGCTCGCCGAAGCTTCCGATGGTTTTCGAACATCTGGCAGCTGGGCTCACCAACGAAATGAAGACATCGCGAAGGTTGGACAAGGCACACCCTTTCGGCGGCATAAGTCACTAAGCGACATGCTCTGCAATTCAGGAGCATGAATTCCGCTGCTGACTAAGGCAGAAGCAAAGCCAGCATCGGCTGCACCACTCACGTCATGACACAATGAGTCTCCAATGTGACAAATTCGCCGGGCTCCAGAGAGCTCCAGGTGCCTCGAGGCTTCTCTGAATATCTCTGGGTTGGGCTTCCCAAAAATGTACAAATGCTCGCCGCCTAAAGCAGAATATTTTTTGGCAAACTGTCCAGGACAGTTCACTGTAACACCGTTATTTCGGTGCACAACGCAGTCAGGGTTTACAATTATTAAGGGCCGCTGTGCTTTCGCTGCCGCTTGCAGTACCGTCCCAAAAACGCTCCAGTCACTCGCGTCGGATTCGTAGTCTGATTCCACTTCGGACAGTGTTCCCTTGTAGCACACCTGCACGCCGTTTGCCAAAACAAAATCGCAGTCGTCGACACTTGCGACAAGTTCAAGGCCCATTGAACGCAGCTCTTCCGGTGACCACGTGCCACGCTCCACGTGATCTGCGTGCGAAATGAAAAGACAGCTCAACCTCACTGGCGCAGCTTCGCTGATCAGCTTTTCGAGGTACCGCTTCGCCTGGTCACCGCTTGTCACCAGGCTTTGAAAGTACTCGTTCATCAGGCCAATGCGCTCCAAGCGCAAGGCGGCCCTGGGAGATTCGCAGGGCGAGTTCGATACGATCGCCATGGGAATGTTTCGTCGTTGGAGCTGATCCAAGCATTCCTTGACATCCGGGAGCAGCTCTCTTCCGTCATGGAGAACCTCAGCGTCTTTACAAAGAAACGCAAGATGCAGACTACGGACTGCGAGTGGGCGTCAGCCACATAAAGCCGAAGTGCTCCGTACTGGTCCAGCCTCAGGTGCCATGGATGCAGAAAGGACAAAGCAAGCGTGGATCCAGATTAATCCACGCGGCAGAAAGCCGTCGTAGCCACGCTCGACGAGATCAGACATGCCATTGATGTCACGGGTAGCTCTGCAAGATGTCCGTCGGCCGTTCACCAATTTTACCAGAGACAGGACCATAACAAATGGTGAACCATGGTACAGTCTGTGTCCAGCTTTGGCTTCTCCCGGAAATGGTCGTGCTGCACGGAATCTCTCTGGCAGTCCTCCGCGTGCAGGAACGGCGGCTGTCACTGATGCAGATGGCTTCACATCCATGGGCAGCCGTGCATTAAGATTCATACTGATCTTGAGCTGATTACCGCAAACCAAGCAGTTTGGAACACTGCCCCTAATCGGCTTCACCTTTCGTTGTACTCGGAAACTGTAACTTATGACGAAATGAAATTATGCTACAAGTAGGCTAACCGGCAGGTCTACACTCAGCGCAAAATGGTGCCCGAGCACCTTGAAGGAAGCCGAGCAAAGACTTGCACACTTCAACAGCTGAAATTCAATCCCAGCCCATGCAATCCTCCAGCCACAGACTTTTCCTGTCACTCCCGCTGCATGGCGAAACGTTGCTCGCATTTTCGGGAACAATACGCCGCGATTCGATCAGCTCCAGACCTCAGAGCCACAGGGCGGGCAATCCATCACTGCTTCCGACATAACCAAGAGCACGACGGATGGAGGAGACAGGGCTGGCTCCGCATGCTCCGCCTCCAACGGAGTTGCGCATTGCTGCACTCGCTGAGAACAAAATCGGCGGAGCACCTCCCTGAACTCTGGCTCGTCATACTCGTACAGCTCCGGGAAGTCGTCTTCGAAATCCTGTGAGTGGCCCGGCTTGAGGCTTGCAAAGCCACGCGGTACAATCTGAAAACAAATTCGTTTGCATCACATAGCCAAGCTCTCATCATGACAGCTTGCAGGAACCAAAGGAGCGGAGCGGAGCCAGTAGGCTGACGACCAATTTTATTATGCCGTAGATTCCCAAACACTGCCAGAAACCAACGACGAGAGATCACCGAGATCAGTAGAAAGTATGGGAAAAACCAGGACATGTGCACCACACCGTTTTGCGAAAGCAATGGCATCTTTGGTGGCTCCATGCAACTACCAGCATGGGGGTCGGTCTGAAGGCAGCCTCTTTTCCCATCGCTAAATCACCGATTGATACACGTTTCCTGGCTTTTGGCGAATGTGGCGTTTCCATTTGGGCAATGCAGGGAATTCGCTTCAAGCTGCCAAAACCCGATTCCATCGATATCGTTACCAACGAACTCCCTGCACTCGTCCTACTGTCATTGTCTTCTATGATCCCACACCTCGACATTCTCACTGCGCACGGTGCCTTCAGAGCCTCGCCAAGCTCAGCGGCAGCCCGCTGCTGCCGCTTCGTCAGCAGCCTGGACACAAGCTATGTCGAAAAGTGGAACGAACCGCGGCGTGACAAGTCGCAGCCTCTCCGCTGGCTCCCCGGTCTTTATGTTCGTCTTCATCGGAACCTTCACGGCGAACCAGCAAGACCGTGAAACAGTTCCCAGCGGCAACGACGGCTACTCTGCTTTGTGAAGAAGCGAGCCGTGCATGCCTCGATCAGCTTGAAACCAGACAATTTCGACCACTTCCTCGGTGCGAATGCAGCGGACTTGAAAGTGGGGGCTCAAGGAGATCTCAGCTTTCTGGCATCATCTTGTTGGCGACGGAGTCCTCGACTATGGACACCACCATGCCCTCCAAGGGCTCTGCGGATCCGGGCCTCGAGCCATGCAGAGGCGGGGGTATGGGGATCACGCGGATCCCGCCATGCTTCTTGTAACACTTCTCATGCTTCACTCTGGCTTGGGCCAGTTGGGGAGAGGAAGAAGCGCTTAGGTGGCGGGAACAAGATGCGAAATGGTCGCGCGCGGATTCCTTCAACTTTTCGCCGATTATTCCGTCAACCACTGACCGCGGATTCTGTCAACCCGGAAACGCGGATGCCTTCAACCTCAAAACCTGCTTCCTTGAACTTCAGAACGCAGATTCATTCAACCATGTCCAAGGAAATGATTCCTTCAACCCAAAGAACTGCTTCGTTCAACCCATACACAACCTGATTCTTTCAACCCCAGCACGCAGATTCACTCAACCCCCAGCACGCAGACGGGGGGGCAGAGTTGACGGAATCAGCACAGTATGCGTTGACGGAATCGGGCGGTGGGGGTTGACAGAATCGGCAATATCCGGGTTGAGGGAAGCGGGCGATGGGGGTTGAAAGAAACGCACAATCTGAGTTGAGGGAAGCGGGGAACATGGTTGAAGGAAGCGGGGTTGAGAGAATCTTGGTTGACGGAACCAAGCGAAGTTGATGAAGAAGGCTTGCACCGATGCGAAATTGGTGCAAAGGTGGGGAAGCTCCAGTTGAGGAACAACGAGGACCACCTAGCGCTTGGCCGAGAAGAGGAAGCAAGGGGTGTTGCCAATCGGCTGAAGTTGGCGAGGTGAAGCCACGAAATAGTGCGAAGCAACATCAGGCGATGTCTTGCCAAATCACACATAACCTTCATGCCTTATGCCTTGGCCACAAAGGGCTTGGGCCCTGGCTGGTAGCGACAGGTGCGGCCGGCAGCATGCATGTAGTCGCTGATGTCTGAGGCACTCGAAGGTGAAGAAGCAAGGACTCAACTGTTGAGATACTTGGCGCATCTGGGGACTGTGCCGTTTGGGTCGCCAATCAACACGACAGCGTCGATAAAGTCCAAATGCATGCCGCGAATCTCCTGTACAGCAAGGAAGTCAAGGGGCAGATTGTGCCGAAGGTTCCGTGTCCTGGGCCGCGGCCACGACGACCTGGCAATGCCTGTCGTCTCGCACCCTCTGTCGACTTCCTGGCTCAGTCTCTGGCACGAAACGCAAGACTGACCAACTATCTGGCGTTACGCTGTCCTTCGCTGGACCACAGCTTAGCTGCTGCCTCAACGGCTTCGGAGACGCTGATGACCTGAAAAAACCTGCGCGTTGTGGACTCATCCCCGGAGTCACGGGGGTCCCAAGGAGAACGGATTATGTAAAACGGAACTTCGCGCGTCAGCAATGCACACTCAGTGAATATGCCACTGAAAAACCATCTCCCCAAACTGGGAAAACGGCCAGAACAATTTGGATAGTGCACAGAACATGGTCCGGCAGCCACGGCTCAAAGACACAAGTATGCATCTTGCCTGCGCAGTAGAGCGATTTACAAACGGCTTGTCACGCACCTGCCACGTGGTTGACCTTGCTCGCTCCCATCCTCGAGGTCCTCTAGCCGAAAGCGCAGCTGGCCTCGTGCTGATGTGCGGTCTTGTGCTGAAGCGAGAGAAAAAACACGCCAAGACCCTGACTCAAGACCAAGCTTCGGCCGTACTCGCCTCGGTCACAACGTAGGCAGGTCATCTCATGGATGGTCGCGACGAAAGCCCTGTGCCCATGTGCCATCGAGCTGCTCGACGGAGCTCGGCCTCCTAGCCCCGTCGTAGCAAGGACCTCAAGCCGTGTGGGTCAGCTCGGCGGTGTTGCACCCGTTCCATAGACGAGCCCCAGACCACTAGAATCCGTTTTGCCTCCAGCTCGTAGATGGTCTTGGCAGCAAATTGCATCACCTGACACTCCAAAACCTTTGCAACCGGCTGTGCCATCGAATCTCTGCACGGGCTGCCCAACTGTAAAACCCGCCCCCCCCATCGTCATAAATCGATGTCAGCATCAGCATCAGTCGTCGCTTTACCATGACAACGGCGGGTGTCCCTACCTCCGCAATACGGCAGGGTCGCTGTGAAACGCACGGGAAAGCAAAGCAAAATAACCGGACCGCGGCTGATTTCGTGTGGGGTCCTTTTTCGGCTTCTTCGAAAAGAAAGTGGCCAAACAAAAGCTAGAGAACACAAATCTAGTCCTCCACACCCAAAGTTGCTTTCGAGTCTTGAAACCCGGCGCGCGAATGCTGTGCGCTGTGCAGCCCCCGACGGCCCGAGGGTCATGGGGAGCGAGGCAGCGAGGCACGTTGGCAGCGAGGCGCTGTTTTGCTTTTCGCGCTTTTCTCGCGGGCCTTGGGAAAGCGAAAGGGAATGGGAACTCGTAGTCGATGGCCTCAGCTTTCACAGTTCTGCAAGGAGGCCGGTCTCGTGACTTGATGAGAACCTGACGGAGCTTATCTGGCCAGCCCGTAGTGCCATCCCCATACCTCCCAGCACTCTCTCCATTCTCCACACTGCTGAGACACTGTGCATCTGTGAGCACGACTGTCCACCGGTTTGCTGGTTTTCAACCTGCGCTTTTAGTACACACCGTTTTGCAGTGTTGCATCCGCTCAGGTGTCCTCTGGGATTGTGCTTCCAGCAGCGCGGATCAGTGCCAGGTCGATGCCAGCACCTCAGAATCTGGCCATGCCAGGCGGCAGAGCTGAACTGAACAGGTCGTGACCGAGCTCCCAACTGTACTTGACGGCGCGGAAAGTCCTGCGGTTGAGGGTGGCCTCAGACTCGGTGGCATACATTGACAAACAGTTTTAAAAGTTGTGGTGACACGACACACATGTGCCATGCTCGTGATGAATGCCCTGTTCGGAAGTTCCGGATAGATCAGATCGCATGAATATGGAGCGAGCAGTTGGCCGCTGGGGAAAAACAAAATTACTGTAGCCGAGCCCGAACCAAGCATCAAGCGGCGGCCTAGACAGGATCCCATTCGATTGTTCAATTTGGACGAGGATGTTAACCAACTCGATATGTCATCTGCTTGTCGTGAGTTGCCTTGACCTCCAAGTGAGGCTTGGCTCCGGCTCTGGTGACCCTGGCCTGGTGTCTGGTATCTCGGCGAAGTCTTCCCGCGAGGCATAAACCCAACTCTTTGCTCGCATTCGGCTAACTACTGTAAGTAGGGAGAGGGCTACATGAAGGACTGAGCCTAAGCCGCAGATCCATCAAAGGGTCTGCCGGCGGTACCGACTTGATGCACTTTGTACGACTGTTGCGACTTGCGTCAGGCTAAATGCCGCTTCTTCAACTGCGCAGTAACTATAGCTGAGGGCAAGTTTTGAGGGTGCCGCAGTTGCACCCACGAGCTGCCACTCATCGCGACGACCGGCCTTCAAGCGTTTGGACATGCAGCTGTTCGGGTTGACAAGAGTCGGGCCTTGGTGGTCTGCAACTCGATCTCTTTCAACAAAGCAACTGCAGGGAGGACCTCGGCTCAAGATCAACCTTACTACGCCTACGCATCTGTTGCCTGTTGCTGCACACAGTGAAGCAAAGCCAACAAAAGCTCCTGGCTCGGCCCTCTCGGCTTGCCAGTCTGCGTTGCACCCTTGGGTTGGGCCGGTGGCCGGATTGCTATGGATTGGGCGCGCGCATTTGCGATCCGATGTCAGCTCCGGACCGGTGCCACTTGTCCACAAGCTGATCGGCCTCGTCGACGACCTGAGCCAAGGCAAAAGCCACGGGAGTAGCGACGTGAGCAGCTCCCGAGCTGGGCCAGTGACGACCCAGTCGAGCTGGCCTAAAGCGCGCAGCCACAAAGGCTGCGTCCTCGGTCTCTGAGAAACTGCTAAGGCGCCGGCGTGGAGCGTCGTCGCCCCGTCAGGACCCTCCGAGACTGCGACATGGGCTCGTCCAACAAGTCGCGAATGTGACGCGGCGTCGCCACGACCTGACATCCGAGAAGCTTTTCACCCACTTGCAGGTGGAACTTCTTGCATCCAGGGCTCGATGTTGCTGGGCTCTGATGTGTTGTCTGCATCACGTCGCATGAGGGTCACCTTTAGTGCAGTGTTCGTATTGCTCTTCCGAGCCGTTTTATAGTGACGTCTTTAGCACTCTAAGAGATGCTCATGGCACTGAGTGTGCAAGACAATGCAGGCAGAAACTTGGCCTTTGAAGGATTGGAATTCGTGTCCCCGGCATTCGTGCTTCTGTCACAGCACATTCAACACCCCTCCAGATGCTATTGGTGGCAGCAGTAGCCAGTGCACTCACGATACGATTCTGCCTATAGCACCAAGCGTGGCTGCATGACTCAGCAATTCATGCCGAAACAACTCGGGTGTCGGCACCCAAAACCCTAAGCGTCTTGTGGCGCCCTCAAAGCCTTCCTGAGCGTTTGGCATTTTCCGCCTTGCCAGGCCCAAGAAGCGCACGGGCAAGAGCCTAAGCAGCGGACTTGAGAGATTCGGAGCACCCGAGCTGCGAGAAACTGGGGTTTGTGCGACTGTCTGCACCTGAAGGACCTCAGCTTAGTTGAATCCGGTTGCACATAGTCGAAGGAGAAGAGAGTTGGGCATAACAACTATCATTGAATTATGCACAGCTCATCCTTTCCATAGATCATGAATCGCCAGGAAGCTAAACTTGCCTAGACACCGCCGTCGGAACCAAAATGAGGAAGCGAAGGCCACGAGCGGGTGCTCGCGCTGCCTGTGGCAAAGATGCCGTGGCACACTCTTTCTCCTGTGCCCGACGCGTCAAGGCCTCTTCCGTGAACCGCTGCAACAAGGGAAGCAGGTAGCAGAGTGTCTTGCCCGTTCCAGTGGGAGCGTGGATGCAGCAAGACCTTGGTGCTTTTGATTTGCCTTGGGGTGCTTATGTATCCGCCTCGGATCACACTAGTGCAAAAACAACTGCATCCAACTCTTGCGTCGTTCTGTCAAACGTTCCTCCTCATGTCAAGGAAAGATTCCACACGGCAGCGGGAGAACAAACGTCCAACCAACTTTGGAAATGTGAGTTGTGGCACGCTCATGCCAGTGAAATGCGTGGACAATCTTTTTGTGCCTTTCGGAGCAGTCGCTCCTTGCAACCTGCTCGGAATGCCTGCGTGCCGATGATGTCTATGCCCTATGCCTGCCTTCAGACATAATTACTCGTAGCGCCGCATGCTGACGCATCCTGATTCTGGTCCCAACACCAGCAGGAGCCAGGCTGGCCGATGTCCTCCAGGACTCCAGAATATGCGACTGCTGCCACCACGAGCACGTCGTCGCTTCCGTTTGTTCTGTTGCTTGATGATGTTGCCGTTCTGCTCAATAACAGCACTCTGGCGGTTGTGTCTCTTGGCAACCGGATACTTCTCTAGTGTACAAAAGCTGCTCTGCGCTGATGCTGTGTCCGACTGGCCGCTTGCATTCTGCATCGTTACCGCAACAAGCTCATGGACTGCCTTGCTCTCGCTAGGGTTGACCCCAATCCCTTATCGAGCTTTGGCACTTGTTGCCAAGTCTAGCGCGGTGTCGGACATCCTTAAGCCCAGAACGCTGCACTTACTATTCGGATGGGGTATTCTGGCTGAGCTGGGACTGGCTCCCGACGACGTCGGCTGTTTTGCGGCGGTCGATCTGTCGTCCCTTACAGTACTCAAGCTGCCTCTTCTCTGCCTCTCACTTTTGCGGACGTTCGGAAATGCATTTCAGGCCAGGGCTCGCCGGGGAACATCCAACAACACGGGAACGCAGACAGAGCCACTTGGCTTCCAGCTCGCCATCATAGATCCGCGACATCGCCTCTGCCTGAATGGGTGATGGCTCAAACCTCGGGTCCAATCTGCTGCACCGATCTTCACTTTACCGTGAAAGACCGTGAGCTTAGTCCCGCACGTCCCACCTCCCAGCTCCATCTGTGACTGAAGCCACCTGGCATGTGACTTGAAGTTTAGCTCTCTTTCTGACGGTCTGACAAGAGGACCGCTGAGAGCATAGACAGCAGAAATCACGGCTGGGATTGCTCGGCGGCGGCTCCCGTTACCCTCACGCCGCCCCAGTCCATGGCGGACTGGGACTTTGCAGACTTCCAGCGTTCAGACGCTCGGCCGCCCCTTCCTCTTCCGCCCCGGAAGGCTCCTGACCGACCAACTTTCAGCAACGAGCGCGTCTCGGCCGAGGTCCGTCCTTCTCGGTCGTCGCCGTCTCGCCTTGGCCTCAGATCTGAGACGGCCGGCGGAGAAGTCCGGAACTTCTCTCTACTCTGCTGTGCTCTGCTCTGCTCTGCTGGGCGGTTTCGCCTCCGAGGCCGGGAGATGGCCTCGCTCGGCGGCCCTCGGTCCCCGCGGTCCCCGCGGCGCCGCCGCAGCCCTGCGGCCTCACAGAGACAGAGATCCGAGTGGATCCGCGGCTCTCGTGAGGCCCAAGCCGTGCCCATGGCTGTGAGGCTGCATGCCAAGCACCGTGACAGTCTGAAGTAGCCGGAGGCCTGTTACAGAAAAGATCAGGTTGGCGTGTGGTGCATTTTTCAACTGAATAACCAGTCGGGAAAGCCAGCTGACTGCCATCAGAAGCTTTTGCAGCCTCAGTGCCACGGACTGAGCAGTGATGGCACAGGAAGTGTGAAGCCTGCCATGCTGACAAAGTCCAAGGCGGCAACGCTGTCTGCCAGGAGAGGTCGTCTGTCTACTCGGCTGCGGGAGCCTGCAGTGAAGCTTGAGGCTTGTATCTTGGGTCAAAAGACTACAAGTCTGAAAAGCACACTGCAGATGGCCCATGGCATATGCATGAACAACCAGCTCCCGAAAGGATTGCTTGACAGCTCGTGCAAAGCACAGCCAGAAGGGCTCTCCATGCGTGCCTTGCGACAAAGATGAGGTCACAAGGCCATCGTGAAGGGCTACCTCCAAGTGCCTTGGGAGTTCGCTCTGCATCTTTTTCAACTGCTTACACCACACACGAAAAACTCCATCCACTCAAGCTTGGACACGAGCGCCATGACACCATCACTTGTGCATGGCGCACATACCCTTGTGGGATCGACCCTATTTCACCAACTTAGGCTACCTGGCTGGATGATTTGCATGTAGTCTACATGTAGTGTTGCAGCACAGCGGCCAAAGTTCCTTTTTGCGCTGTGATGCTCATGCTTACATTTCTCATGTACCCGGCGACTGTCGATACATATGTGAAGAGCAAGTCGGAACACAAGTCTTGCTCAGTGGCCTCAGCCGAATGGCTTGCAACACGGGCAATGCTGCACCCACGTGCGCGTTCGATCATGTTCGGGTATTTCCGAAGAACCTGTTCTAAGTAGCGTAGCAGGCTCCGTCGGTCCCGAAGATAGGTATGATACAAGTACTGTTAGGAGGCAAGGGGAGTGGGGATGCATTTGGAAAAGTTTCAAACGCATTCACTTCGGGTCAGTCTTGCCCGGTTGCGGAACCTTGGAGTCCCAGCTGTGTCCGCTCTTCGTGCCGTGAGGAATTAGTGCCAGAGAGAGCGTGTTGCCTCAGCATTGCGGACTCGGCCTGAGCAAGTCTGCCTTGCTTTCTTCATCTCAATTCTGTCGTGAAGGGTCTCCATAAGCCCGGTAGTGATTGACAGCAGTAGTTCATGAATCTTCCCTGCATCCGTCGCCCCTGTCAGCAGCGGCAGGTAATCCAGCCCAAATTGTGATCGACTGCGGAAGCTTCCATCCTTCGCGCTCAAGCCGAGCATCAGCACCCAGACCGTCATGCAATTAAGGCACAGGGGCTAGGCCCTGCCACAGTAGGCAGAAATGAGGTGTCGGCAGCTGGAGTTCAACGTCTCGACGAGGCGGGAGGGCTGTACACAGGGGAGCCAGAGCCGACTTTCGCAGGTTTTGCTTCGTTGGAGCGGCCGCCGTCAAGCTGCCAAGCTGCTGAGAGCTCTCAAAGCAAGTCGACGTCGGACAAGAAAGCAGTTGTCCTGTGGCAATGCTGACAGCTTGTTCGGCATTGCTCGGCCAGGCACGGGCGGCGGCTCTCGTAGCCAGTGCAGAATAATTCAGCACATGCCAGCATGGCAAATGTACGGAGAACCGCCGAAAGGGCAGATGCTGTCACGTCTTCCACCTCAATGGTCTCATCGATGATCATGGTCACGTGCATAGTAATGTTCTCCCCAGGAGTCTGCTTTTCCCTCGAAAGTTGGCATGAAGCCAGCCGCTTTGGCTCCAGAATCCGCATAGTTCCCGAAGAGCAGTAGCAGCTCGACTGGCCGGCTTGCAAAGGTGTCCACTTTGGCCCTGTGGATGGTGCGTATCGCATGAGCTGCCTGCCAGAGCAGCAAGCAGCCCTCTGGGCAAGCCAAGGATCTAGCAGGAGTCGGCGCTTGCTCCCGTGTGAAACCATCCAGTTGAAGGGCAGGCGCAGGTCCCACGCGACTGCCGTTGCAAAAACTCATTGAAGAGTTCCTCCCTGAAACTTCGAGCACGCTGTCCGAGATGTCGCCAAACCAGAACATGGCGACTACAATGCCGTCCAAACAGTGCCACGGAAGTCCGGAGCTCTGCTGGCCGTGCCTGTAGCTGGTGATGTCCAAGAGTGGTTGTTTGCCCAGCAACGTTGGCAATCTCGCTTGAAGTTCCTGAACCAAGCGAAAGCCAACAGCACCGTGGAGCCCATCACGGAGCTGGGATTTGTGAATTTCACCATTTTGCAGAGACTGGTACCAAACGGTTGACTCAAGAAGCCATCTGCGAACCTGAAACTCTGCCGACAAGCTTGTCGACTGCATGAGGCTACATTCATTTAAGTCTGTGACTGAGTAGCAGACCAACTTCTGAGCTGAAGCAGTCAGAGCACCCGGGAGCACTGCCATGCCTACAAGTCAGCCACAGGTTCGTGATTTGTCCACAAAGCCCTAGGCTAAATCATCCTCTCTTTCCCTTGGTGTGGCCTCTAGTGCGGACGTCCAGCGCTGCACCTCTGCGAATGGTGCTCTCGTGCTCTCAATATCAAACTTTGGCGAAATAGCATCAGACACTTTGTGGGCTCTGAACTGCACAGAACTCACATTGCGAGCTTTGCCCGCGTTGGGCTGCTTCTGACGTTCTTGCCGGACCCAACCCCGTCCCCGCTTGACCGCTGGTGACACCGCTTTCTTCTGCCACACTTCTCGCGTCCGATCTTGCGAAAACCCGCCGCCCTCGGTTCTCGTCATGGAGGGTTCATTTCTCTCAGGCACGTGTTGAGCGTCGCCAGACACCGCCTGGAGTTTGCTGATGCGTGTCGCGTTTGTCTTTCGAACATCGTGAGTGGGGACAATGCTACATTTAAGGATTCATGTCTGCAAGCTGGATCCTCGCCTTCCCAGTCAGCGGTGCTGGGCAAAAATTCGGGAACTTCACCGGCAGATTGGTCGAGGTCCTGGAAACGGGGAGAGCGCAATGTGAACAACCGGACACAGAATCGTTTGGAAGCATCTGGAGCATGCGAAAGATTTACGCAAAGCGCCGGAGTCCGGCAGATGCAGCGCTCGGTTGAAGAAAGGTCGCACCTTGCACCAGGAAATGTTCAAGGCCAAGGCGCACGTTGAGGGACTCGAAAAGGAAACATCCGGCCTCTGCAAACCGCGCTTCAACCTCCTCGCGCAAAGGTGCTCCTTTCTGGAGCCTGTGGATGCAAGAGGCAGGAAGCAGCGGGATGAAGAAAGGGGGTCTAGAGCCTATAGCGTTTAGGGCATCCACTTGGCAAAGAGCTCAAGCAGACTTCGGAAGCCAGAGGCGGCCTCGGAGATAGACAAGGTGTCACTGCAAGCCGCTTCGAGAAAGTTTCGGCCTCATGGAGCTCCTCACGGCCTGGAAGTCGGGACTCCCCCAGGCTCGGATGCAAGGGAAGTGCAACACCTGTGGAGATGATGTACTCAAGTTGCTCCGTGTCATGGGCCTGCGCGTGGCGGCAGGTTGCAATCAAGCTCGGAAAAAACGTGCGGATGAAGCCAGCATCCTCTCTGGCTCAGCTGCTGGCCAGCTTTCCAAAAGAGAAGCCCGTGTTGTCAGCGACAACGCTGCCCTCCATACCTCTCCCGTGTGCAAGGTGCCAAGTTGTCATGCTGACTCTTGCCAGATGCACTTTAGACAGTGCGGACGGGGGCCCGCAGTTCGAAACACTCGTGACTTGCTCATGGCTGCCCGGACAACACCAGCCCTTCATCTGTCTTTTCTGCGGCTGAGGCCTTTGCTTGCAATGAGTCGAGATGCATTCCCAAGCGATCTGCGCTGTTCGAAGACCCAGTCCTTAAAGCAACGATAATGCGTGCTTGGCATTCGCATCTCTTGCCGACATCTCAGTGCATGCAATCACGGTAAGTCTTGCGGATCTCTTTGCAGCTTCAGAGCCTTTTGCTTCTCCCGCATTTCGGGTGAGACTCTTCTCTTGGTCTGGTTGCAGCATCTTTGGCTGCCAATGATAGGTTTGTCGGGGCAATGGCCGCTGCGGCTTGCTGCAAGTCTCTAGAGAAACGCTCTGATCTGGACCGATCGCAGCTTTTGGCAAGCCCTTGAACGGGCCTGAGGCATGTGTCAAGGCCATGACTCATGACGAAAGGTACAAATCATCAGTGTAATCGGCATGCCTACATGTCATTGGAACTCCCACAGACCCGAAGCAGCTGCATGCATTGTCGAGGGGTTCTTTTTTCACATGTTTCGTGTTCAGTACTGTGAAAACTCTCGCCCGCATCTTTATCATGCATTAGACGAGAAGCAAAATAGGGTCAAACAAGGTATGGCATGAAAGCTGGGAGGTATGCTCGGAGGCTCGCGCTCGGAGAGCGAGCGGGCTTTTTTGTAGATGCCTTCACGTGCCTAGCAAGAATCTAAGAAGCTTTGAGGGATGGAAACTTCCCCAAAGCGCTTCGTGCATGTGTGTGTGTCGATCACAGGGGATTCTGAGCGACCTGGCTTAGACTCGGGAACCTCCCGATATTTGTCGACCCGGGCTGGGAGCATAGACTGTCACAGGCACCCATGTTGGGATTCGTGCACTGCCCCACGACAGTAGGCTTGGAACCGACAAGAAGCATTTCCAATACTGAAGTTGTACTACAACCCAACACAATCCAGCCAGGATCCGAAACGAGGCATTTCCAGTGCTAAAGTTGCGCTGCAACCACGCGCAATCCAGCCAGCTTCCCAAACGAAGTATTTCCAATACTAAAGCTGTACTACAACCAGGCCCAGTCCCGCCAGCACCCCCAACGAGGCATTTCTAGAACTAAAGCCGCACGACAACCAAGCACAATCCAGCCAAGACCCCACACGAGGAATTTCCGGTATTAAAGTTGTACTTCCAACCAAGCACAATCCAGCCAGGATCCTAAACGAGGCATTTGCAGTACTACAATTGTACTTTGGCAAGGAACTCGTATCACCAACTACATCTACGACCTCCCCGAAGGTCTGCTCCCAGTTGCTGACATGCATTACGACTTCGATAGTTCCCTGTAAGGCAGTATCCAAAGGCCTGCTTGCTTGGGACGAACTGCAGCGGCATGAAGCTCTGCATGGACGTCAGCTTGGCTTTCACATCCTCCAGAGTGCGCTCAGATGGTTCGAGGCCCAAGAGCCAGCGACGTCCAACAGTCCGACTGGTGTCCCTCTGGCCTTTGCTGTCTGCTCCTTCTTGATCATTTCCAGCTGGTGGGTCGCACTCTTCAAACGGTCCAGTCTCTCTCTCTCCTGGCCAGCACACACCGAAACCAAAGGTCACTGACATGCACAACGTCTGTAACGTTCTGACCGTTTGAGCTTAGCGGCTTCTATTCTTTTCAGTCGGCTCCGGTAGGCTGCAAAGTATCCTCAGAGCGGACCAAGGTGAAAAAAAGGTGCAAGCGCACACTGTCCTGGCCAACTCCGGCCTTGATCTCTGCCGAAGGCTTCCAAAGGCCCATCAACCAAAGGGATGGGTGGATCGTTGTTTTCGGGAGGAGGTAGGTCACCTTCCCTGCGACGTGACGCTTTAAGCTTCTGAG